TCTGGGGAATGGGATTCAGTCTGAGTTCAGCCAGTGGGATTTGTGTGTATCTTTGTTGAGGATGGGAAACCAAAACAACAACAACAACAATAAAACCAAACGCTTCCTTCTAGAAGCAGGGTCAGGGGAGAAGAGATGATAGCCCAGAGAAATTCCAGCCCAGCCTGGCCAGCACTGCCCGAAGCAGGTGAGGAGGGTTGGACTGTGGAGCTACCTCGAGGAGGAGCCCTAGATTCACACGATGAACAAGGAGCCCTAGATTCAGGCGATGAAAGCCCACCATTGTTTTCCGTGTTCATTCAGCGTCTTTCCAGAGGATTGTTGTTCTTTCCTTTGAAACTGTCAGTATTGTTTTAAAACTAGGTTGCTAGTCAACCTGGCACCTGCTCTGACACAGAAGTCACGTGGAAGTTCTACATTGCCATCCTGATGCCGAGCAAAGCTCGTGTCTGCACAGCTCTGTGTGTGGGTATGGCAAGCCGTGCAGAAGCAGTAGGCGCTGGCCTTGTATGTGGTTTCATTTCAAAGACTTTGCCTTTAACCGCCAGTGGAAGCTATTCCTAACCTGCTTTGAAGGAGAGCTGTGTTTCAATGTTTTCCTGGAAATACAAGTCTAGGGAGCCTGTGTTCTGGTTTTGTTCATCGCCATTATGTGTCTACATAATGTAGATTTATTGGAGATGATTTAGTTAGCCTCAGGCAATCCTAATGGGTTTTCTCTGGTTGTTAAAAAAACACTCTTCAAAGAATCTAACTGAATTTTCCAAGCAGACTGGTTGATTTATCATTATTGGGAGAAGAGTTCCAGCACCCCACACATATCATCAATTATAATCTCTTTTGAAGTGTAATTTGCTGAGCCTTGATTAAAAGGCCTGTAATTGTCCTGTCCTGCTGCTCGGGACACGCTCTGCTGCCCTCTAATGGCTGCCCATTGATGGCAGCTATTGACTTCTCTGGCCACCTTCAGAATTAGCTTTTGGGCATCCACCTACTCCTGTGGGTTGCTGGGGCTGCAGAAGGGGGTGGGTGTGGTTGGCACCAGGCTGTGGGCATCCGAGTGTTCCCAGTGATGTGAGGATGTGAGTGTTCCTCTGCATTAGTTTATGTCAGTCCATTACTGCTTCTGGTGTTTCTGCCAGCAAGGTTACCCAGCACCTAGCCATGCCTCTGTCTGGTAAACTGTTACCTAGATCTGTTCAGTGATGCTCTTGGGAAGACAGGATAGCTACATAACTATTTGCTTGTTCTTCTGCCCTTTCAGCTGAGATCTTGGGAAAGGTGCTGGAATAGGTGCAGTGATTAGGAGAACGTAGCTTGTGCATTTCTGCTTTGTAGAGAGTGTCACGTCTTGCTTTAGAAGGAACCCAGTGACATTTAAATTTGTATATCAAGAAACTATATTAAGCTGGGCAGTGGCCCACGCCTGTAATCTCAGCACTTGAGAGGCCGAGGCAGGTGGGGCTCTGTGAGTTTGTGGCCAGGCTGGAAAGATATGACATAGTTACTTAAGGTGCTAAGCACCAAAGCAGCGCAATCCAGAGCACTCCTTGCTGTGGCTGAGGTCAGCACATGGCCAGGCGCAGATTTCATCTTACCCTCATGGGCCTCCCAGGAGCCTTGCTGACTAGCCTGGCTTTCCGTCCTTTTTATGTAATAACCCTTCATTCATTTTATTTCATTTTTTGTTAAGTATGCCCTACTCTACTTAGCAAAGATTTAAAAACTGCATCTTTCTAGGTAGCTTTAACTGTCATATCAGGTTACCGTCTCTTGCTGGCTTTACTCTTTACTTGAGAATATTGCTCCTTCCTATATTTGGGGTGGGTAATGTTTTCTTGTGAAAATAATGCCCGCTTTTGCCCTGTGGTGAGAGCAGGAGCTGGTGCCTCTGCCTTATCTAACAGCGCACTGTGGAGGTTGCATGCATTTCCATAGAACTTTTTGTCATTTTCTATACCTCATACATCATTTAGCTCTTCCACGGGGCATTAATATAATCAAAGAGAAGCAAATTATTTTTTAAAAATGATTCTGTAAACACTTGAAAAGTTAAGGCATAACAACTTAAAATAAGATATTTATATGTTATGTGTGTGTCTATAACAATGAATGCCCTGGAGGCCAGAAGAGGGTATCAGATTCTTTAGGGCTACAGTCACTGAGAACTATCAGCTGCCTGGTGTGGGTGCTGGGAACCAAACCTGGGTCTTCTGGAAGAGCAGCAAGACTCTGAAGGGACGAGCCATCTTTCTGACCCCTAAGCAGTAGCTTGAAGAACTAATATAGCTGTACAGTCTCTGCCATTTTTGTTGCCTTTTTCTTTAGTGGCAGCAGAGAAAGAGGTAGAACGAGGGGAGGCTGCCTCCACAGCTTCACATTTTATTGGTTATGGCCCATGTACCCCAAAAAAGGTATTTATCATTGCTCTTTGTCATTTTCAACATGACCCCCAAAATAACAAAAAAAATTGTTGGATTAAAAAACACTGTGCACTGGGCAGTGGTGGCACACGCCTGTAATCCCAGCACTTGGGAGGCAGAGGCAGGCAGACCTTTGTAAGTTCGAGGCCAGCCTGGTCTATAGAGTGAGTTCCAGAATAGCCAAAGCTACACAGAGAACCTTATCTCAGAAAAAACAACAAACAAAAACAAACAACCACCAACAACCCACTTGTGCTTTGTCACACATTGAAGGGTTTGGCAGCTGCCTCTGAAGAAAAGGGGAGAAAACAGAAGGCCTCAAGGCACCAGCCTGCCAGGGTGAGCCTAGACCACAAGATGGAAGTTCACATTTGCCCCTCTAAGCACAAGAAAACTCAGTGGTAAACAGTTAGGCTGGTATTAATTGGTATAAAACCCACAGCCTGGCTCTACCATAATTTACTCTGTTAGCATGAGTTGATAGGAAGCGGCCCTTCAGCAGTGACAAGACACTCCTTCCTGTCACTCAGGAAACTCCAAGTGCCTGTGGAGTCCTATCCGAAGGACAAAGACTGAGGATAAGTGTTTTATTTTGCCGGTGTCTGTTGTTTGCATCCCGTCTAGACGAGTTTGGGGTTTAATTGCCTAGATGGCACTGGATGTTTTCAGAGCTAGAGATTGGTAAGCTGAGAGCGTGTTAGGGAAGTGGCCTTGAAGGAACCAGATCGCCTGCTTCTGAGTCCTGACTCCCACACTCAGTAGCTGTGTGATATTGCAGCAGCCAGCTAGCTCTTGCTGGAGAAATCCTGGGAACAGTAAATAAGTCAATACCAGAAGTCATTTAGAAAAGGGCGAAGTTTGTAATAAGTGTAAGGTAAATGTTAATTACCATAATCATTATAGCATCATGATCAAACTTGAGATCAGGGCTCCAGCAAGCTGATCACAGGAGGGAGGCTGTAAGATGTGAACACATATTTTCTGGGCTCTTGTTCAGCTGATAATGACTGATCAAACAGTAGTATTGATCTAGAAACATGAAATGCTATAGGTTTTCTTTCTATCAGGCTGTAAAAATGTGAGGTTGTGTGAACTCTGTTAACAGGGTAAGCCAGACTCAGGATGCAAAGAGCAAATTGTAAACAAGTGTTTAAGGAGTAAAACCTAAGGATGCGTCAATCAGTTTGACAGCTTGTTTTCTCTGTAGGCAGGTGGGACTAGTGATGGTATTTTTTGTTTTTGTTTTTCTCTTAACCGCAAAGCCTGTAAAATACTTCACTGTCTTAATTAGCCTTGCATAATTAGCCATTATCTGATGACTAGATTTCTTTTTCTTTTTCAAATACGGATTTTTTTTTAAGAGTGTAGTTTTGTAGGGCAGGACTGCAACTTGAGTGTTTTGCTCCAGCCAACACACAGTGAAATGGGATAGGCTCTCGGCAGGTGACTCTGGGCACACTCCAGAGTCATGTTATCCACGCTGGAAACTTGTTTTGAAGAGAGCAGTCTTCCCTGGGTTCTCCTGGCACTCTCCTGCCTGCTGTGGCTGGACGGGTGAGCTCTGCAGAGAGGGAAGGACAAAGAATGATGGCTAGAGTACACTGCCTCAGGCTGCAGCTCCCTGTAAGAAGTCAGTGTAGCTGCACCTCAGCTTTTCTGTTTTTTTTAAAGGCCCTGCTCTGCTCAGTTTCTGTTTGGTGGGCTGGCCAGGTCTCAGAATGCCTGTCCTGCCAAAGCCTCCATTTAAGGAAAACTGTCCTGCTCTGCACTGACTGCTGGAGGACTCCCTTTTTGTAGGTAGCCATAAACCCTGGCTGTGACTGTGGACTCTGGAAAACCAAATAGTAAATTGTGGCTTGCCCTAAGGGGTAAACAGCCCAGCACTCAGGAGGCCCAGAGGGAATGCCGTAAGGTGGAGGCTAGCCTGGGGTACAATGATTACAGCAAAGCAAAAGAAATGAACTGAGCTAACAAATAGATCCCTCCATGAGAAGTTAAAGCTTTGAAATGCGGCAAGATGAAGCTGCTAAGTAAGACTGCGTTGAGAAGTGCCTAGAAGTAAGCAGAGGCTCCAGTCTGTTAGGGCATTAGGAAGGAGAAAGGGCACACAAAGTTAGAGACAGCTGTTAGCACCGCTACACGGGGACCCAGGTATTTGGGATAAGCTGTGTACTAGGGAAAGCAATGGGGGACTGACTGCTATCTGATGGATTAATAAAATAACTGAAGCAATTCCTGAGCTGTTGCTGTCTACAGTTAGTATTCTGGCCCAGGAGCGGTGCTCTGAAAAACGTGTGAGCTGTTGGTTTTCAGCCCGCTGTGGCTCTGCCTACTGAGGAATGTTTGGCAGTGTCTAGATTTAGCTTGGTTGTCACAGCTGCGGTTGAGGGTGTCACTGGTACTTTGTGGGTGAAGGGCAGGGATGCCACTAAAAGATATGCATCTCCCTGCACGAAAAGACTTACCTGGCTCAAAGTACCAGTTGTTTTCGCTCAGATGGAGAAACCCTGGATAAACCATGACAAGTCTGAATGTCACAGAGTGACTGTCGTGTTTGATGTTTCACCCTGTTTCCAGGAGCAAGGACGTTTGCCAGAGTGAAATGGAGGCGTCGGTGATACTGCCCGTCCTGAAGAAGAAGCTGGCCTTCCTTTCAGGTATGTGTGATGGGCCAGGACTGTGTGCTGTGTAAGCTTTCTTTGACTACTTTAACAAAATTGCGAGTAATTTCTTTCATGAAGGTTTTGTTTTTAAGGCATTTCTTTAATGGGTGGATGTGGCCATCACTGCTGATTTCCCACGTTCTGGTTTTTATTCTGTTCTGTGACTTGACTAAACTAAACACTGATGAAATCATAGCTTCCCACTTCTAAAGTAATTCTAAAGAAGTGAGTGGTAAGTGCTGGTTGACTGACCTCCATTTCAACAGGTGTCTGGGAATGAGTCGTTCTGATTCCTTCTCTCTGCGCTCTGTCCTCCATCATTCTCACGGAAACTTTGACTGTACTGGAAGACTTATAAAATGCCACTTCTGCTCTTCCCTGTTCTTTCTTGAATTTGCTTAAAGTTACTATCATGAAGTGTATGTCTGATAAGATGATTTAAGGAGAAGTGGGAGGATCCTGTCTCCCTTGAGAGCTATGGGCTGGTTCATTATGGCGCACTGTCCTTGGAGTCTGGCTAACTGAATATGTCAGCACAGACTGTAGGCTCCAGGGCCTGCAGGTCAGCTCTACTCAGACTGTAGTATCTTCCCTTTTTCCTCTTTTCTCAAGCTTTTGTCATTGTCTGGATAGCTTTAATTTCTTTTTTAACCCCAAACTTCTGATGTGTCTTTGTAAGTTGACATATTTTCCTGATGAGGATCATAAAGGACAAAACAAAAAGCTGAACTTTGCTGGTGGTGTTTCTCCTAATCTAATGTTTTTAAAAACATGTTGTCAATTGGCATTCCCATTGTCTCCATGGTATTCTATATGAATGAAGTTATTGACGTTTATATTTGTAGCCTTGTGAAATTTGTAGTGATTATTTTATAATGTACATTCTTATAACTGGAAATATTGAGCAGAATACAAGGATTAGTAAATTGGTATGTACTTGTTGTATAATCCCAGCACTCAGAAGGCTGAGGCAGGAGGATCAAAAGCTTGAGGCCAATCTGCGCTCCAGAAGATTTTGTCTCACACAACAGCAAAAGTGAAAAACCAAAAAACCAAACATACCAACCAACCAACCAACCAACCAACCAACCAAACAACCAATCAAACACACCCACTAACCAACCAACCAACCATACCAACTACTTTGAAGTGTTTGGGTGTGCCAGATGTCCTCCAAGAAGCTTGTTTCAAGTTTTCTAGCTCCTGCTTTTGAAATGCCTGTCTTCCCACACTGCTGTCACTTGTGGATGCTGTCAGCTTCTTTTCACCAATGGCATTTTAGTGGCTTACAACATTTGAGTACATTGATTATAGCTGTTGTGAAGGTCTTTGTTTCTCCTGCCTTCTGACTTTCACTTTTATAACAGTGCCTTTTTCTATTTTTTTTCCTCCAGTGAAAACTGTGAGTATGGAGTTCAGGGTAATATAGTTTTGAAGGTTAAACTTGACCCCTAAAGGAAAACTTCAGAGTGGTTTATATGTCACTATAATCTAGGTGTGAACTCCTGTGCATTTAGTTTAAATGTATGGGTAAAACTTAACAGCTTTGAGGAGTAAATGAATGTTCCCTTGTGTGAGCCAGACATAGTGGTACACACTCTTAATCCTAGCACTCAGGAGACAGAGGCAGGTGGATCTCTGTGTGTTCAAGGCTAGTCTAGTCTACATAGAGAATTCCAGGACAGTTGGGGCTACATAGAGGGACCTGTCTCAGCAAAAGAAAACAAAACAAAAAGTCCTGTTGTCCACTCTTAAAATTTTATTTTGTGACCATTAGTGGTTAATGCCAGTTATTCTCAAACTCTTTATTCAAATAATAAAGGAAAATGTTTTCAAACCAACAGAATTACCCAAGGCCTACTAACATTTGGAAGTCACCCATGTAATCCATTAAAAAAAAAATAAAGCCTATTTCTAACCAACAAAAATGCTATTGAATCACTGTGTATTAGGTCGAACCCTCTGAAATTGCAGTTTATTGATGTTAGACAAAGTAGTTCAATATCAACAGTTGCATAGAAAATAGCCCTTTATGGCTGTCATGCCATGAATTGCATTTCTGTCACTAATGGAAGTCTTTTTCACCTCAGGCTTTTCAGTTTTTAGTGATGAATTGCTAGAGATTATACAGAATTGTTTTCTTCAGGACTTGCTGCTTTTTAAACTTCTAAAGCTGTTGTAAATGTCAGTTGGTTCTGATGGTAGGCTTCCGTGTGAGTCAAGCGTGTGCAGAACTTTGAAGGATGGTAGGCATGAATACAACTTCTTGGAGTTCGTTTGTTTCTTTTGCAGTGCTGGGAACTGATCGCAGGGTCTTAGGTAGGTGAGCGCTTTTACTCAGCTGTATCCACAGTCCTGGGCTGTGTCAGAATCTCACTTTGTAGTCCAGACTGGCCTTGAACTTGCTGTCTTCCGGCTTTTACCTGAGATTGTAGGCCTGTGCCATCAGACTGGGCTTCAAAAGTGACATTTTACACTGAGGGCAAACAGGACAAGGCCGTAACATACCCGAGTTTTCTGTGTGCTCCAGTCCCTGGCTTTCTGCTGTAGCCTCCAGTCCTGTTCCATGCTCTCGGGTGGACAGTACTGTGTCTGCTGCTGCCACTTGAGCAGGCTGCAGCTGGCTGGCCTGCCTGTGCACAGCAGTAGCCCAGCACGTTGCTTGCTGAATGAATCAATTATCTATCACATAGAATTCAGTCTGCCATGGCTTTCCATATCACATGCAGGTCTGTTTCTTCTGAGAGTGAACTCAGGACTTCTCTTATCATGGGCTCTTCTTTTAACTTGGTTTAAAGAGTCTTAGAGTGTTTTTTTCGAGTCTACTTTTCGTACACTTACCACAGCCTTTTTTTTTTTTTAATTGTCTTTCTCTATTATCTCAGTCCCTTTTAATAGATTTTATATGAAGACACAGTGTAGCAAATGAGTGGTCATAATTTATACTGTTACGGTGATGTAAACCTTTTCATTCCAGATGCAAATGTGTCGTGCTTGCCAACACTGATTGTACAAGGACACATCAAGTATTTGATAAGTTGATTCAATTAGGCAGTAGACTAAATGAAAGAAAATGAAAATTATTTGGGTTTTGATGTAGATTTCATAGATGCATTTTCTTCTGCATTTTTATTTATTTATATTTTTGCCTTTACTGTTACAAGCATTTATAAACCGCAGGCACCCATTAGATAGTTTCCAAACTTGTGATTGTTTTAATAACATTGGATTAGAATGTTATTCATGTGACGTCTTAGTATCCAGTAAATCTTAAATGTATCTTTTCTGTAGGAGGGAAGGACAGACGCAGTGGACTGATCTTGACAATTCCGCTATGCCTTGAACAGACAAATATGGACGAGCTCAGTGTCACTTTGGACTATCTACTCAGCATCCCAAGGTGACTTTAAAGGTGTCATTTTCTTCAATTTCAATATTGTTTTCTATTGATTCTTGCTGTTGAAGCATCATGTGTTTTCTCAGCAGTGAAATTACAGTTAAAGACTAGAACCAGTGGCTGATGGCAGTACACAGATAAAGCACTGTTTAATGCGCTTCACAGCACACGGATTTCTAAATATGTACTTTCAGCCTTTTAAGAACCACTAGGTTAAGCGTCCAAATACCGTGGAGCTTCAGAACGAAGAGACGTTAGGGACTGAGGAGAGGGCTCGGTGGCTAAGGGCACTGCAGGACATGCATTCCAGTGCCCAGCACACGCATGAGATATTGGGCAAGCCCACCTCCAACCCCATTACTGTGAGTAGCAGAGACGGGAAGCTTGCTATGGCTTGGTGGCTGCCAGCCAAGGTCCAGGCTTAGTGACTGATCGTGTGTCAAGAGGGTAACAGAGCAGGATACCCAGTGTCCCCTTCTGGCCTCCATGTGCAGGTATACACATCTGCATAGACGTGTGATGCCCTCATACACACACAAACACGCATGAATAAGAAAGAGAGAATTTAATTTATGTGAAATTATCTTTTAGTTCACTATTTCACTATGTTGGTTATAGTCTCTAATATGAGCAAAGTCTGTTAGTCTTCAAATATTTTTATTTTAAAAACACAAAAGCATACACATAATTTAACTTATGGTTCTTGAGTGTTTAATTTTCATAGTTCTTGAATGAAGATAAACGTCAATTCTGTTTGCTTAAATCTACCAGTCACTTCAAAATCAAAAGCAGGGGCTTCAGAGATGGCTTGGCAGTTAGGAGAGCTGGCTGCTCTTCCTGATTTCAGCTCCCACTGCCCACTGCAGGTATCCCGCAAACACCCGTAACTCTAAAGACCCAACTTCCTCTTCTGGCCTTTGGAGACAGATGCTCCATCTCCTGCTCTGCCTCCACAGCACTCAGCTTGTCAGGCGGGCTTGTGCCCAGGCTGGCCCCGCACCACAGCTGCCGCTGCCCATTGATAGATATCCTGTGGTTCTCACATCTCTGACATCCCGCAGTCTCCACTGCAGTGCAGGCTGCATTGTTACCAACCGTCTCCCCTGTCTGTCACTTAGCTGCTCCACAGGACCCCTTCAGTCCTGTAGCTTTCATGTCATCAAAACCAGTTCTGTATGGGAGACTCTTTACAGCTTCCAGCTGAAGATGCAGCCTTGCCCCTCTCTGGATCATAGCTCCTGTATACTGACCCTGATGAACTACTCCCCAGATTTTTATCACAGATGATTTTTTTTTTTTTAGCCTCAGGTAACCAGTACCTGTTGTCTCAGTAACGCCCAGCTTTCACTTTAGTGGTACTGGTCTTTTTTAACCATAGCTGATTCTGCAGCCCCAGGTGACCAGAGCCACAGCTTATTAATTCAAAACATCACATAAATGGCTGATAGTCTCAGGTGCTCTCAGACTTCCCTCTGGGACTTCCCCAGCCAGCTCTCCATTGGCTGCATCGTGTTCAGCATTATCTTGCAGGTTCCCACAACGTTTAATCTCTGAGCACTCAATGGTGTTTCTCACCTCCAGAATCTTCCCACAGACCTTCCAAAAGACATTCCAACATCAGCACCCCACACTGCTTGCTGGCCTGCTCCTGGGCTCATGTTTAACTACCTTCTACACTTGGTGCCAGTTCCTGTTGTTGTTTAATTTCTGTTGCGATGGTATAACCAAAGCAACTTGGGGAGGACAGGGTTTCCTTGACCTTTACCTCATAGTTCATCATCTTGGGAAGCCAAGGTAGGAGCTCGAGGTAGGGGCTTGAAGCAGAGGCCAGCAGGAGCGCTGCTTGTTGGCCTGGGTTCATGTTTAACTGCCTTTCTTATACAGCCCAGACTCACCAGCCCAGGCATGGCACTGCCCACAGGCCAGCCTGACTGACAGAGGCCATTCTTGCATTGAGGTTCCCTCTTCACATGTGTGTGCAGTGGACAACAGAACTAACAAGGACACAGACCTACTTCCAGTACAGATGTGTAATTTAATGATTTGTGGCTGGTTCTTTTCAGCACTGGAGAAGCACAAGTCTTCAAGTAAAAGTGTTTTTCCTTCCTCCCCTCCTTCCTTCCTTCCTTTTTCTTTTTTTCCTTTCTGAAAAGGAAAAGTACCAGGCCCCATAGTCAGTCCACTCACAGAGTGGCCTTGCTGATCTGTGTTGCTTACTGCCAATTTATAAATTCCCAATAAGTAATAAACCTCTCATTTCAGGTGACTAAAATGAGGTAGACTCACAGCTAATAAATCATGAAAATAGTCATTGAGGAACCATCAGGACCATCTTCTCTGTTTCATAGTTGGGAGATTGAAACTAAGCATGTTGGGTTACTCAGGATCACACAACTGGTCAGCCATGACATGGGGCTAGGATCTGCTGCCCCTCACACCAATCCAGTCAGGGGGTTCTCTGTTCTTGTTGTTTGTTTTTTCAAAGTAGAAATCATTGTAGCTGTAGTTTTTTCGTGAAGGACAGTTTTGGAGGTTCAGGTGAAATGCAAAAACTATTTAGAGGAAAAGACTGGAGGCAATGGCTCAGCCCCTACTCCTGAGCCTAACCCACTTGTGTGTTTGCTATTCAGGCCGCACATGGTAGGAGGAGAACCGTGTCTGGCAGGCTGTTCTCTGACTTTCCCATGTGCGCCGTGGCACACTAACTCACACACATCTTAGACAGAAAAGTAAATAAAATGTAGTAAGAATGGGCATGGGCAGGCCCAGAGACCTGCACATCACTTTCCCTGCGTGTTCCTCCAACTGGAGCTGTGTGCTCACCTGGGCGAGGCTGCTCCGGCAAACCACAGACTTGTTCACTCACACTCAGTGCAGGAGGCTCAGGAACTTAAGGCTGAGTGAAGAGCACAGCACGTCAACCCGTGTCTCCTGACCTGTGTTCACTCAGAGCTGTGCTCACAGGCAGGCAGGCGGTGGGAGGGAAAGCAGTCTAAAGGGTTGACCTTCTTAGTCTGTGCCCCGTCTCTCGCACACATATTCTAAATTTAGTGATGTGATTAATGGTAACCTCTCATTTCTTAAAAAGCATTAGTCCTTCTTAAGTTTTCAAAGGTTTATACTGTTTTCACTAATAAGGATTATAAGGTAGACACTAAAGCACTTTATTTCCATCTCTGCACATTCTAAGGAGAGGCAAGTTCTCGGAGAGGGGTGTTCTAATTCACATTCCACAGCTCTGGGCCGTCCTTAGTCAATGGTCAGCACTGGTTTCTGGCTTTATCTTCCGATGGATTCATTTTCTCCAGAGCTCTGCATACATCCGTGTGGGCTTACGGAACCCGCTAACTGGCTGTTCTCATGGATTCATATTTGATGAAACGCTAAATAAAATTGAGGGTTGTGAACACAGTAGTTGTTTGGTGAGCAAGCTTGTTGATTGCTTTGTGCTTTGTTTTAGAACTTTAATCATGGTTAGAGCCTAGACTTGACCTGTGGCCAGGGGTTAGAGAGAAGACCCACATCTAAGGAAACAATAGGTAATGGTCACTCAGTCCTCCTCCTGACCCTCTGAGAGGGGCACAGCCCTGCATCTCCAGTCTCTATTTTATGGAGAAGGTGAGCATGGGCAGCCTGGCCAGAAGCCTGTGGCGAACCCAGGCGGCCACCTCTGGACCTCCTCTCAGTGTGTGAGAGCCACCTCTTTAAGGAGCTCATAACCCAGGCCTGCTATAACCGATAATTCACATAATAACTGAGTATTGTGTTCTAAAAGAAAGCCTGGCTATCCTTTAAAAATTATCAAAAATTATTTAGAATTTTTCTTTCAACAGTATGCTGGCAATACTTCAAATCATGTTCTTTCCCAGTTCAAAAAGAACTTACTGTGTGACAGAGAATGCCAAGGTTGGAAACCACAGAAACCATCTGTGGCTTTGCAACTCAAGTTTTGTAGAATGTCACCAAGGAATGGCTCATGTCCTTCCTGATAAAAATTCAATCTGTTAAAACTACTGTGTTAGATTTCTCAACTTGTAATAATTTTAAAATCCAATGATTGATTTTTTTCTACCTGTGAAAATACTCAGTGTTACAGAAGAAACTTCAGAGGGAGGAGTCTAAGGGAGGTAGTACAAGGCACACAGACATTGAGGCTAGAAGTCTAGGTGACTGTGAGGGCCTGTGGGGGCTCCTTGGTTTTCTAGGTATTAAGCAAGTGGGGAATAAAGCAGACCAGTGGCTAGTACTACCCGAGGACCAGACACAAATGCCACAGATGCATACTCAGTGTGTCAGGCATCCGTCTGCTGAGAAAGCAAACACAAAGACTCACGAGAATCAGTGGCAGCATACAAAATAGGGAGGTGACATTCTACCAAGATTACAGAAATGAGTGGCGGGCCCCCAAATACCTGATGAAAGAGTATCACCAAGTCAAAGGCACTGAGGCTGGAGTAGCTTTAGCATGCCTGTGGGTTCTCCAGCCAGGCAAGCGTGGAAAGGGGAATGCAGTGCTAGGAGGCTGGCTAGAGGGGAGACTGGGCTCAGTCAACACCACGTAGGTCATGGTCTGGGCTTCATCTCAACATGGAACACAGTGTTATATTCTGAGTCAGGCATTATCAGACATGTCATCACGCATGGCCTTCTAATCTCAAAGCATTGCTCCAGGAGTTCATAGTCTCAGTGGACGAACATTCCGATACTGTGTAAACGTGTCCTCTGATGGAGAGGAGTTCCGTACACAGCATTATAATAAAAGCATGGCCAGGCCAGTGCTGAAGTGTGTCAGCAGAACGCTGACCAAAAGGAGAACCCTTAGATAAGGTCAAGAAATAATTGTGAGCATCGGGGCATTGACCTAGAAGTCCTTCAAAAGCCCTTCTGGGTTAGAAGTGAGGATATTTAATATCCACATTTCTTTCATAGAGCTCTTTTAACCCAGCCTTGTTACCCCTGAAAGACTCTGAGGAGCAGGGATTCCACATATCCCCCTATCTTCCCCTGCTCTAAACAGGTACAGGAATCTTATTTATAGCACCCTAGGCCCATGAACATGCCTTTCGCAAAGCATCTAAAATACCACGTGGTTGGCAGTTTTGAAATCCTATTCCATGGTTGTGTATATTTTCATTTTCTATCTTAGTGAAAAATGTAAGAAAGTTAGATTTAAGGGTCTTTTAAGCACTCTAAAAGATTTAGTGTTGTATCCTTCAAGATTGGTACAGATGGCATTTGCAAGGCTCATTACTTTCACAGCATTAACCTACAGATTAATTTATAATATGCATTGAAATACAAATGTGTTATTTAAAAAAAACATATTTAACAAATGGTTGTGTGACCTACACCTCAGGGTTGTAGGCACTAATAACAAAACATCAAGTGTTGGCAGTGACGTGTCTTTGGTAGTGGCCCCACACGGGAAACCTTTGTCTTAGCTCCATTTCTTGCAAACTTCTAAGCGTCAGGAGGCCCTAAGTTCCTGCCTTTCTTCAGAGGCTGCTTAGCATCCATCTCCCCTGCCTTGGCTGGCCTGTCTGGGCTTTTAGCCACACTAAGGCCTGCTGGCCTTTGTAGAAGTCTTGTTGGGCCTCTTTACGTGCACCTGCAAATGCTAACTGGGTGTCTGCTCAAGCGTTTATGTGCTAGCATAAGCCGAGATGTGGGTGTTTATTGCACCACTTTCCCGTCTACAGAGATATTGAGGATCCTTTTTCTTTTTTCAGTGTAGGAATATTAAATGCTTGCATTAAAAAATTCATTAACTTGTCATAAAATACAGTTTTAATAAAGTATTCAGTTGAGTGGTTTGTAGTATATTCACAGGGTCCTGTGACCACAGCAACTCCAAATAGTTTTCATCAGTCCAAAAGAATCTCTGTGCGTTAGCAATCCTGCCCATTTTCCCCTTGCCACCTGCCTCAGGCAAGTGCTAATCTGCTCTGTGGATTTGCCTCTGCTGTATATTCTGTACAAGAGGTTATATAACATCTGATGCCCACTCTGGCTTCTTAGCATAATGTCACGACCAGTCACCTGGATCATGGCGTGTATCAGCTCCTGGGCAGTGGCTTTTACTGCGGCTGCACTGCTCTGCTTCCTGTTTGGCAGATGATACTGGATTGCTCCTTTTTTACTATCAGAACTTACGCGCTTCGGATGTTGACATGCACGTTTTGTGTGGCCGTGTGCTTCAAACAGCATTATGTGTGGGGTACACCTCTGCTTATTTAGCCTATTTTTTGCCTCTGTCTCCCTGTTCCTTTTCCAAATACTGAACTGTGTCTCTTCATTCTTGGGATCTCAACTGTTTCTCGAGACAGGCCTTGCTTTTCCTCGCAGCCTCTGTGGCTAATGTGGATGCTGGGAGAGAGTAGGGAAAGGCTCTGAGATATCCTAGGCTTCCAGATTAAAATCCCACGGAAAGTCGGCTCTTCACCTTCCTGACAATGTGTGTAACTGAAGGAACCCTAGGCTGTCCTGCTTTCACGTCAGAATCCTTGCTGGGCTAAGCAAGGCTGAGGTTTCTCCCACTGTATTGAGGGAGGGCACAGGAGGTTCTTGCATTAAGGTTGTAAGTACAAAATGGCAACAGTAATAATATAATAGCTATGCGGTTTTGCCTTTAGAATGGAACTTTTGCGTGGAGCAGCCATTACATTCAGTAAATACTTGAATAATTAAATATAGTACAACACATCTCACAACTCTGAAGATAGCATTGTGCTGGTCAGATGCCTGAGAATGAGAAAATCAAAGCTGCGATGGGTTAGATGTGGTACATTCACGCTTTCTATTTGTAAAGCAAGTCTGGCCTCATCATGTACACAAGGAAGCCAGTCTCCAGTGGGTTAGTAATAGCTTGTTGTTCTTCACCTGTTTTAAGCTGTGTCATCACAAATCCTAAATTCTGGTAAGAATGCATGAGGCATGAGGCAGTTGGTCGCTCCCTGGCTCTCTTTGATCCCGTGTAACAAATGGAGAAGTTGAGAGGCTGCTTTCATCACTTTTTAAGACCTTAACTTCCCATGTTTTCAGAGCATTTTCATTCCATCTTAGCTTGTGATTAATATTTGGAAACTGAGAAAACCAACGCTAGAAAATGGAAAGACTCTGGAGAATTTTATCAGTTGTTGTAGGTCAGACAAACAAGTTTTTAGTACCCTACCTGCTACTAATGCTTCCTCCAGGGTTGTGAGGAAAGTCCGTGCCATCTCACACCTGTAACTGTGCTTTGTTTCAGTGAGAAGTGTAAGGCCAGAGGTTTTACTGTGATCGTGGATGGCCGCAAGTCTCAGTGGAATGTGGTGAAGACAGTAGTCTTAATGCTGCAGGTAATGTTCCTTTTGTCTGTCAATCAGGAAATGATTCATGTCTTATATCAGGACATCATGATGAGGGAAATGATCTATGTTTTATAGCATCTATGTTTCACCATGGTGAGAATAGCAAGTACATTTTGCTCATCAGACCATGCCCAGGCTTCTCAGCAGTGACGTAGTTCTAAAAAAAAAAAAATTTTTTATATACCTCCATTGAATTGCTTAAATTTAATTTTTATATGTTTAAATTTATGTGGTAGAGTTGCACCCCACCTCACTCTATAGGCTTTATAGGGTGTAAGTAGTGTGTCATGTCGAAGTAGTCTGAGCAACAGAGCCTGTGGTTGTCACGTGATGGCTGGGAGCTCAGGAGTCACCTGGGCATGCCTGGTATGCTGTGCTCAGGGTCACCCTCCCTCCCTGGCTCCTATTGGTAATGCAGGAAGCAGGGCTGGGAGAGTCAAGTCTGAAAAAGTTTTATAGGTGAGCCTTATACATCTTTCCATACTGGGTAGCTTCTTAAAAAAAAAAAAAAGAAAACTACAAAGAAACAATAAAAATTAGGGATTTGTGATGGTTGGACTAAGAACGTACAGCGCAGAAATTTGTTTTATAGTTGTGTCTTTTGGGACAACGGCAGCTCACAAATTCACGTTTAGTAAACAGCTACGAGGTCTGCAGAGTGGGCGGGGCATCTCGCCTTGTATTTCCGCATGCCCCCACAGACTGTTTTGTCCGTCTCTGGCCTATAGCAGAGACATGCAGACTCCTGTTAGTCTACTGAAAATACTACTGTGAGACACAGAGACATCCAAGGTGGGCAGATTGCTCTCAGGCAACTGGTCTCGTTGCACTGTCTTCCTGAGAAGAGTTTCTAGCAAAGACAATCCTTGAGCTAAATAAAAGTTATCTGAATAACTGGAAGAAGATGAGAAGCCCCTCCTGGCAGGGACTGTCACTTAGTGACGCCCTATAGGAAGCAAACTCAATGAAGGGAGTTGATAGATGAGTTTGGGAAAACTGTAATTAATTTGGCAGGAACAGGGTAGTGAGTGTTGAGTGAGCGCCAGCGTCATATACAGGGTGTCAGTGAATGTCAGCAGTGGCTGGCTGCTCTTAGGTTCTGTGGAGAGAAATGGAACTGAGAGCTTTTAAGCCCTTAGCCAGGAGAGTGCTGTGCGATGTCTCATTCTTTATTCAGGATGATTAGAGGGAAACCACTTAAGGGGTGGCAACAAGGAGGGAGAGTTTTAACTCTGGTGTTAGAGCTTAGTGTTTCTGAAGCACTGTGTACATTATTTAAGTTTAACCTCACAGAATTGGACGTTGGCAGAGCCCAAGTTCTGGGCCTTGGGTTTTCCTCCGTGTCTGAAGTGATGCCAAATTTCCTACCCATTGCTCCATTCTTTTTTTTTTTTTAATTAAAAAAATATTATCTGTATGGGTGTTGTGCCTGCGTGCATTTCTGTGTATCACATGTGTGCCTGGTACCCAAGGAGGCCAGAACATGGAGTTGAATCCCCTGGGACTGTAGTTACAGACAGGTGTGAGCTGTTGTTTGGGTTCTGGGAGTTGAACCTGGGTCCTTCAGAAGAAAGCCAGTGCTCTTTTCTGCTGAGCCATCTCTCCAGCCCCTGTTGCTTTCTTAAGAATATGAGCTAAGTGCTTCCTCATCAGGCTCTGTCTTGAGTTAGTAAGGTGTCCTCTTAGGACCACTTTTTGGGGGCACAGATTGACGCCCCGTAGCAGCCTCTCTGCCAAATGTGTGGCAGCACGTTGCTCTCCAACCCTGGAGACCATTCTGAGGTCTCTGAAAGAGTTGTTAAATTCCACTCAGGTAAGGAATCCATTGAGATGGTCTCGGTTCTTCCTTTCATCCTTTCACCTGTCACAGGTGAGCCTCTGGGACCTGCTCTGAACTGCACTTTGATCTGCAGTTCTGTAGAACAGTCAGTGGACACAGTCCATGCTGTGATTTCTTCTTCCCTCATAGGTAATTTTTTAGAAATTTGGACTAACTTGTATCTAAGTTTTTCAGAACTCCCTTGGTCATTTTCTGTGGTTAACTGTCTCTGCTCAGGAAGTGACTCGCTGTTTTGATCTCAGGAGCTGGGGCCAGCTGTTTGGGAGCCTCCCAGACTCCTGAGGGCAGCCCTGCCTGTTGCTAGTGTTCAGAAAGAGGGACCTTCTCTTGATTCTCACAGCTTTCCTATCCAGTGACTTGGAAATACTGATGTCTCCATAGGTCGATAAATGAACAGACTGCACCAGCCTCGCTGATAAGGGTTGGAAGCAGTTGAGTTTGTTGTGCTTACCTTAGCAACGCCATAGTCGTTAGAGGAGCATTGTTTTCTCACTGGGCCCTGACATGCTCCTGTGGAGAGATCATTTCCGTCTCTTTCCTAGAAATTATGATAACTTGGTGCACCTCACGGCTTAGAGTGGTGGTTGGACTCTTGGGTTTAAGTAACTCCTGGAAGCTGGCTGTGCACATCATTTGTATATCGTTTAAGGATTATACTTCATCACAAAACTGAATAATTGGAACAGAAATTCTGTGGCCCTCAAAGCCTAAGATGTTTTTCACTGGGACCTTTCAGAAGTAATGTGTTGACCTGTGAAACACTCTGGAGGAACTGAGTCAAACATCTTGCTTCTGTTCTTGAATGAGATCTACTGCTAATGAAGATTCAGTTATTTCTCATCTATATATGGGATGGCATATATGTCACACACTGAGAATAGAGAGACATTCATAGATAAGGTAGCTGCCATTGGGAAGCTTTGTGCCATTGAGTTGTCAGGCAGTGAGCAGTTAAGGAAATTAATGAGCAACATTAACTGGTGATGAAGGCTGTGATGAATGTAGAGTGGGGCCAAGACAAATATCACCCACGCGATGGCGGAGAAGGCCTCTCTAAGGAGGGAACTCCGTACACAAGAGTAAAGAACATCTTGTGCAGAGGAAGTAGAGGGGCAAACTTGGGAGGCGGGATCAGACTTGCATTCTGGGAGTTTGGAGCTCAGCATGACTGTGGAGGAGTGATGTAAGGAGGAGGTACACAGCCAAGCCTGAGTCAGCAGGACATCAGCAGCCCTGGCAAGGCATTCTGAGCACAAGACACTGAGTGGTAGGCTGTCCAGCCTCCTGCAGGTAAGCTGGGAGGAAGTTTGGGAACGTTGGCAGAAAAGGTGGGAACTGTGGTTGGAGTGCAGATGTGTTTTCAAGTTAGACTCCGTGTGGCTTCCTAATTGTAAGAAGTACTCACAAAGTTAACAAATGTTAACTGCCGTTCTCTCCAGGAAGCAAATGGTCATATTAGAAAGTGTGAAATTGCATTGTGTGAAAAGGTAGTTTTGTCCTCTTCTTCCCGTTAATGATTGTTGAGAATCCTGACGTTTGTGTAACAGCTGCTAAGAAACTAGCTTTGTGAGAAAATGGATTTCTCATTTTCTGAAGAAATTCTTCATGATGGTGGTGTTAGAAACATTTGTCCCATACCGTAGAAAAGCCAATTTTAATAGTTCCTCAGCTAAAATGTTAATCTTGTGGTTTAATCTAAACATACTCCCAGCAGAGATACTGCATATAACAGACATAAATGACATGTATAGTTTGTTTAAAACTGTTTGAAAACTTTTCTGAATAGCTTGTCTTTCTTTATTGCCATTTAGATTTTGAAGTTTAAAGAGTTTCTTCTGCTTTATTACTTGAATTCCTTTCTAAGTATCCTAGCATAATCACAACTATATCTAGTAATTTGCACATTTGGTAAATCATTTGCATGTATAATTTGTACTTACTCTCTTTTGCAGAATGTTGTTCCGGCTGAGGTATCCCTTGTCTGTGTAGTGAAACCAGATGAATTCTGGGATAAGAAAGTAACACATTTTTGTTTTTGGAAAGAAAAGGATAGACTTGGCTTTGAGGTAAATATGATCTATACAAAAAGAGATATGTTGTATCTTTGAAAGTAGGTTTGGCTGACATTACTGTGTATGTTGAGTTTAGTTACTTGGAAGCACTTGCTTTGTGCCTCTTACACCGTCACTGGTATATTCCCAGCGCTCAGACACTTGTTGAATGACTGTGTCTTTCTCATAAGCTGTAAAAGTTCTGTTTCCATCTGAACACTCTTTATTAACTCAACTCTAGATAACTAGGGCCTTTGTGTTAAAGTTGTCAGTGCTTATGGGAGGAAACGTATCAAGTCTACCTTAGAGTGGACCTAAGAGTGTATTGTCTATGATATGCCATAATTATTTCCAGGGCTTTTCTTACATGGAGTCAGCTGTGTTCATTTTCAACCTTTTATGTTTAGGTTACTCTTCCCCTTTGGCCACCTTCAAGATTTCATTTGGATTTTGGTTTTGCATAGATCTTTCATTTGGTATTTATTCTTGCTGGTGGTCTCTATAGTTTCTTGCATCTCTGGGTTGTGTCTCCCATTAATTTGAACATTTTCTCCACTGTGATTTGAAAAATCTCCGTGCTCTCTGTTTTCTGTATTTGTGGGATTTTAACCATATCCACGTTAGATGATTTGAAAATATCTCATTTTTCTTGTTTGGTCTTCTGTTTTATTTTCACCCCGAATTATCCCCTTTTTGTTCATTTTTTCAAGTTCTGGTGATTGAACTTAGGGTCTTATGAACGGGAGGCAAATGCTCTGTTGCAGAGTGGTGTTCTTAGTCCAGTGTGAGTTTTTTCCCTCTTGGAGTATTTTTAATTTTAATCCATTTTCAGGCTCTCTGTTTTCTGGTCATGTTGAGTTTGTTGACAAGACGACTGGAAATTCTCATCTGTTGCCATCGTTTTGCTGCGTAGCATCTCTATTTGATTTTTGCATGCCCAGCCCTCCATCCAAGTATTCTCATCCATAGATTCAAACTTCATGTAAAAATATTTGAAAAAGTTGCTTCTTGGTGAGGAGCTGCCTCCATGGCTGAAGAGCTTTCTGTGTAAAAATATGGACCTGAGTTCAGTCCCAGAAGGCAAGTCAAAAGCAGACATGGACCAGGGGCTATCTCCCACGTGGACTTTGTTGTTCGCTCTCTGATTACTTCCGTCTGGTGGGGGTCATTGCGAGGCCACAGAGGAAGAAGGTGCAGGCAGTCCTGATGAGACTTGATAGGCTGGGGTCAGATGGTGGGGGAGAACGGCTCCCCTTTCTGAGGACTAGGGGAGGGGGCTAGAGGGGAAAGGAGAGGGAGGGTGGGACTGAGAGGAGACTACAGTCAGGATGTAAAGTGAATAAATAATAAAAATTAATTAAAATAAAAGCCAGACATGGTGCCACAAAATTGTAATCCCAGTCCTGGGGAAATGGAAATGGATCCCTGGAGCTGGCTAGCTACCCGGCCTGACCTACTGGTGACCTTGATGCCAACGAGAGAGCCTGCGTTTAAACAAAAAGAGAGGTGAATGGACCTGAGGAATTATATCCAAGGTCGTTCTCTGGCCTCCACATATACTGTCATGTGCACAGATTCAGACAGACAGACAGACAAGCACACACGCACAACCAGATACATACACACACTTGTTTCTTACTGAATGTAGCCTTTGTGCCGTAATTTCCTAAGCAGTATAGTTGAACAGCTGTTTATCCACCATTTGCATTTGTTAGGTATCCTAAGGAATCTCCCATTGGTTTAAAATGAGCAGGAGTTTTATGTGGGCTGTACATGCAAATGTAGTAACACTGTATGTAGAGAACTTGAGTAGCTTTAGATTCTGGTGCTTGCCGTGGCATCCAGAATCCAGCCCCTTTAGGCCCTAAGCGAGGAGCCTAGTTTTTGTCTTTTTGGTGAACTCTCGTCTGTCTGTTGCTGCCGTGGCCTTTTGTCCGTGTTTGGTAGCTGTCGCAGAATCCCAGCTGCCTGGCAGGACATTCACTCGCTCTCTTACGCTGCCTGCTCGAGTCTTGAACGAGCTGTTTCTTGTTTGCTTTTTTTAATTTATTGTGAATTGAACACTGGACATTTTGTGCAAGACAGTAAAAATCAAGGTAAATAGCATTTGTGCCTGCATAGTAACCCATCTTATCTTTTGTTTGGGCTTTAGCAGGTAGGGAAAGTGTTGAATTGGCTTCTGGCTTTGTCTCGTTATTTTCCTCAGTGTACGCAGACTTTGAATTTCTCTGTAGTTACTTTGGTTGGAGGAGTGCTCTTTCTAGCTTCCTGTGTAGTGAGTGGAACCCCGGTTGTTTCTCCCCACTTGTTCTTGCAATTTTGGTGTTGGTAGATTTCACTATTATGTGGACTTAGTGGAGAGATGTACGTTAGCCAATTAAAGGACGATGGCTCCAGCTAGACAAAGAGTGTTTTCCTGACAGTATGGGTAGAAACCACATCCCAAGAAGCTGAGCCAAGAAAGCCTGAATGCTGCCGTTGGCACTGTGGAGAGTGAGTACTTCAGATGCATAGTTCACAGCTAGGGACCTACGGAAGGCTACTCTGTGTGAATGCAAAGTGAACGGACGCCATCTGTTCCGACTCTGAACGGCGGACAGAATGGGGAAGACCAGAACCTGCCATGCAAGCCTGTCACAGCTGCTCAGGCATAGGTGTCTGCCTACTGTGTGAATGAACAGTGGCTAAACATTGTGGAGGATAAAAGAAAAGACAGCTTTGGTCTGATGTCATAGATGTTTGCCTTGAAATGGAAGTATTTAATGAATGAAGCTTTTGGTATCAGTATATTTCTCCTAGACGTTGAAGAGGTTCAGTTTTGATATTTACCCAGCAAATAAGTACTTATTAAAAGCCTGATGTACTAAAGAGATGGAATTAATTTCAAATGTTGGCTATTTTGCCACTAAACATATTCAACAACACTAGCTAATAAGTGGCACTTAGAGCTTAGAGATAGAATTAAATTCAACGTTGGTTCTTATTTAATTGAAAATTATTTTCCTTAGAGTCATTTCAGAGAATTTGGGCTTTTGTAAAAATGTTCATGTCTTTGTAGGTCATCTACTTATTTTTAACATGTTTTACAAATGCCGATGTTCTTATAGGCATGACTGAGGGCTTCGTTTTATAGACTTATATACGATACAACAAAGTTTCACTGTCAGCTTTCCACAGTATTAACTAGCTGAGCACCTACTGGTCCTGTCAGTTGTCCCCACATGACTTTGCATGTTCCTTCCCATCTGTGGGACACTCCTGTGTTGATCCAGCTCCTGCTCCACTCCACAGTGTTTTGTATTGTCCTTTGAATGCTCCTTTTGTTGCTAACCTCAGTGTTTCTCTGTAAGTGCATCCTGTCTGAGATCCCCATGAACTCGTTCATCTCCCTTTTCACCCAGTGTATTCAGGGTCCTCTGTCCCTCAGTACGACGTTGTTGGTTAGGGGACAGCATCTGTATGATTGTGACAGGACTAGAATTGCCATTAATCTCGTCATCAAACTGAGATGCTAACAATCAGAATGCTGCTTTTACCTCTTTTATCTATAAACACGTATAATAATAAAAGTGTACTTATTGAAATTGTGTTCTTCTCTAATTGCATCCGAGTCTTACCTTTTGGAAGTTTATTGGTGGTGGGAATAGGACCAAAGACTTTCTTTATGTTCCTGTGTCAAGAATACCCCTGGCTTCATCTGTCCTTTTCAGGATTTTCAAAATTCTAGTAGAGCTTTGTGGATGGTTGGAATATTCTAGATCTAAGCCACATTACTTTGAGCTGTCTTTAGCCCCCTGAATAGCTCACCTCTGTGCCTGGTCTGTCACTTCAGCTACAGGTAAAAACCTTCACAATATACTTCCAGCAGGCCACTGGCTTCCACCAACCTGAGCCAGAGAACAACATCAGATAACGTTGATTGAAAAAGGCCTCGAATTAATCACTTTCTTGTTCACTGACCAAACTGCTTCTACATGGGATCACGTTGTCTGGGGATGCCTGCATCTGTGCTTCAGGGCTGTGCTCACTCATAGCTCAAGTGCAGCTCAGAATAAATTAATTTTTACTCTTGGAAGTATTAGCTGTGTTTTGTGTTCCTTGGAAATTTGCTTTATTTATTCGGTTAGATTTTTGTTTTCATCTGCCAAGCTTTCCTTTGAGGACTGTTGCACATACAGGAAGGTTTTTAAGTGCTGTGTGTTTCCTGGAAATGAATATGCAGTCCTCCTGCTGTTAGCTGTGGGCTTGTGGGCTTTCTCATTAAGTGAAGCTGCTTAATCTTTTGCTTCTTCTTCTTCATTGTCTTCTGTTTCTTGTTCTTCCTCCTGCTCTTTCTCCCCTCCCTTTCCTCCTTCTGCTCCTCCTCCCCTTCTCTTCCTTCTCTTCTTGCTCCTGCTCCTCCTCCTTTCCCTTCTCATTCTCCTGTTCTTCTTCCTCCTTTTCCTTCTTCTCCTCCTTCTCCTGCTGCTCCTCCTCTTCCGCCTCCTTCTCTTCCTCCTCTTCCTCATTGTTGTCATTCTTGGACAGACCCAGCTTTCCCCCTGCAGGGCATCCATTGTGAGCACACTGTAGTGAGTAGCCTGCAGTATATTTATCACACTTTCACCATCTTCAGCCTTTATTTCCACCAATCCACACTTGGATTTCCACAGCCACATTCAGATTTGATTCTTTTCCCAAGGCTGCTTGCTTGGAGATAAGGTCTTGATAATGAGACTCAGTCATTGACTATGACCTTTTTGTCAATAGCTGTGCCATTCAGAGTCTCCATTTCTTAGTTTATCAGAAATTGGGGAATGGGCTTGGATCTCCTGTCCTTTCTTGATGTCCTTGCTGGAGCATTTGCAGAGTGAGAGAATTGCCTTCTCTTGCTACATGCCTGCAGTTGGTCCCTCTTAGGAAAGTCAGTGTTGCTGATCTTCAGCACAGTGCCTGTATCCCTTGGCCCAGCCTGAAGATTATCTTTTAAGTTCACAGATTTAAGCCATTCGGCGTTTCAGCCGCATTTGTTACTGCTGACATCTGTAGTCAGCACAGATCTTTTCAGACCCCTTTGGTGCTACCGTAGCAGTGTTCTCTGACAGTTTGTGGTGACCTGGGTGAGATGGTGTTCTTATGTATATACTTTGTCAGTGCCCTGACTAGCCTGCTTCCTTTCACTGGGAAATAGTGTTTGGATGTCACAGTCTGGATGTTAATAGTATATAGTTCTGCAGTGTTTGCGTAGAAAAAAAAATGTTATCTTAGTACAACTAGCAAATTTTGAATAGATGTAAAAATTCTTTGTCATGATTTTATTAAGGAAAAGGTTTCATTTCCAAGGGATTTTTTAATATTGATAAAATATTTTAAAAGTTTATCTATGATGCTAGTTATTTTTTTAATGTTGATATTGTCAGAATATTTTGATATATTTTTAGCATATAACCACAATCTATTAAATTGACTTGAAATGCACTCACATTAACTATTTAAATTAATGGTTATTTGCTATCATTTTGAAGCAGTGTTGTGTTTTTTGTTTTTTCTTACCTATTCAATCTCCTTATTTACCTCAGAGACTTTAATGGTGTACTCAGTGTTCCTTTTTGTCCTCCGCAGGTCATTTTAGTGTCTGCCAATAAGCTGACCCGCTACATAGAGCCGTGCCAGCTGACGGAAGACTTTGGTGGGAGCCTCACCTACGATCACATGGACTGGCTAAATAAGAGGCTGGTCGGTATTAGTGCAAAACAAGAGAAACGTTTTTACACACAAATAAGATGTTTGCATAACTATCTCATCTTAATCAGCTAAGGTTGTTTTCATATAAACAAAGAGGCGTACTGTGCATGTCACACTTGTGTAGTGTGTGGAACTCACACTCTGGGGTCACAGTCACATAACTGTATTCCTGACGCTAGAAACCAGCGTGTGACTTTACTGATGTATGTAATTTCTCCAGGCCTTAAGGCAGTAATAATGCTAGAACTATCTTGTCCAATTGTGAGCAAGGCGAAATGAGTATGGACCTTAAACACTTGGATTAGCCAGCAGCATACAGTAGTGCTCCATGGTAGCTGTAACCGGTTGGGTCAGGACCGGTAAGAGCAGCGTTAGAGTGGCGTGATGGCAGCACAATGTCTTGAGAGGTGAGCTCAATGAGCTCAGCATTTCAGAAGGGCCTCGAGCATCGTGTGAGCTGTCGGCCTGCAGCTCAGGATGACAGACCAAGCCTGCTGTTTCAGAAAGCTTCTCCTTGTCAGACTTCTGGGGGGACACTGCTCTGTGTTACACTGCATTGTTTTATTGAGTTATGGAGAGAAGGTCTCTAAGGTGGTGTCTTGAGATTGTGTGGTAACCTTGGGAGACTTGGTTATCCCTGAATCCCTGAATGAATAGCCATTTCTGCCCTGTATTTAAACAGTGGCGTGCTATCAGGCAACTGTATGTCTAACCTATTACCTGTGTTTAGATGCACTCAAATCTTTTCTCATGGAATCATGGTAAAATTTCTTTTCTTATGGAATCATGGTAAAATTATAAGTAATGTTTCTTTATACTATGGACTTGTCTGTGAAACTCTTGATGTTACATATAACTAGTACTGGCTGGTGACAGTAAGGTGAGAAATGGTCTGTGATTAGCATTGGTGGATCCAACCGGTCGTAATGACATTCATGTCATTACGGAGTTTGTTACTGGTACAGATGTTTCTCAAGGAAGTATAAGAATGAAAATAATTGTGAGTAAAGTAATCGAATATATTTAAATTAGAAATTCCACCACCGTTAAAGCTCCTCATCACTTGGGATGTGGGCTGTGCACTGTTGAGCTCTGGTGGTTGAATTGCACTGTGTGGCCTTCTGGGAAGGGAAAGAAATCCCGCTGACTATGCTGTTGCTGTTAAGTGAACCACTTATTATGTATCGATTTTTGAGATTATTCATGGTGTGTCTGTACACTCTCCTGCTGCAGGTCTTTGAGAAGTTCACGAAGGAGTCCACGTCATTACTGGATGAACTTGCTCTGATCAACAATGGAAGTGAGAAGGGGAATGAGCAGGAGAAGGAAAGGTGCGTAGGGTCGTGTGGTGAAGCATGCCCGTGCTGCTGGCTCAGGGGAGGAGGCCACAGTTCTTTACCCGCAACAGCACAGCTACTAGAGTTTGCTTTACACATTCAATCTTCCTTTGACTTACGTTGGCTTTAAAAAGCTACTTTTTGATGAGCGTGGCTGTACTTTTCCCCCTTGCACTGGAGAGTATTCAAGTATGTTCTTTCCAAAGAACATACTTTGGAAATGAAGCTATTTTCTACTCTTCTTAATTTTGCCTTTTCCTGAGCACATCTGCAGCTTGAAATAAAATTCTTAGAACTTTATTTACACTCATTAGTACCAAAATGTCTAGCATAGAGAACTCCTCTCTTGAAATCTGACATTTGTAAGTTTAACATAAGGAGTTTGGCATTTCATCATTCTCGGCATAGTGGTCAAGTTGTGTCATCAAGCTGTAGCTGTCCAAACTTACCACCTTCATTTCTTGGTTGGTGGGCCACGTTCCTTTCTACTTAAGGCTAAAGCACATTAAGAGACAAGCAGCCAGCCCATTAGTGGTCACTAGAAGTGTGCTTTTTCATTAGGAAGTTTGAGGCATTCTCATCCATTTCCTTTGCTCCTTGAATATACCGTGGAACCTATGTATTTAAGCATGGTCATATGTCGGTCAGCTGGAATAACATGATCACATGGATGTAAGAGGATGATAATTTTACCAAATGTTGATTAAAACAAAAATAAAAACAGATCAAATTGCAGTCTAGTTAAAGATAGCATAAATACTCACAAGTATTAGTATCCTGTCTGTAGCATACTTTGTGTCGTTTTTCCCATGAGGCACAGGCTATGTCTTTTCATTCTATACATTCATGACCCATTAGAGTCTTGGTTCCACACAAGTCTAGCTTGGAGTAGCAATAATTTTATTTGGATTGCTCATGGGAGCATAGATGAGGGGTTACCTACAAGACAGTAGACAACCTAATAGGCAGCTATAGCACCAAAGAAGAGACTCTCTGTCTAGCACGGGTCAACCCCTTGCATTTCCTGCAGGTGGAGAGAGGCCTCTTGTGCTGTCTGGCACACCCTCCTCCACTTGCACAAGAGAATGTTAGTGGGTCCAGTCTTATGACAGACTCTTGATGGTAATCCTGTCTGCTCTGTTTCATGACAGCAATTGGCATATTCTGCCTGGGGAACAAAGTTGCACAGCACCATATAAAAATGTAAATGCATATAAACATTACGACTAAGTTTGTGATACATATGAGGCTATCACACATGCTTTTATTTGTCAAGAAAGACAGACATTTGAAGAGGGCACCCATAGAAAATGAATCAATGGTCACAGTTTGCAGTACTGCTGTCCCTGCTGACGGCTGGAAACCTGGGTAAAGGGCTCCGAGGAAGCATCAAAACATCTGCTTCATTGCGTCTTTAGATGCCCCAGGCTTATATGACAAAAGGCCAGGGCCTCATGCCCTTTCTTTTTTATAACAAGTTTTTATTGGTTTGGGAAATGTTGACTTGTGTTTTTACAAGAAGTATTGGGAACTTGGGTCTACCAGTCTCTTTAAACACTCAAATGTTACTGTTTGGTTCCTTTTATTATCAGGTATTAGAGTCCCGCTCTTGCAGCTTTGTATCAGTCTTCATTGTCTTAGCCCTCAGAGAGCATCTAGGCCCCTGCAGAGGTGAAGCCATGGATCAGTTAACAAGTGACAGGATGTACTTGGGAGTACAGCAGCATGGTCTTTGACTTTGATTTGCTAGCTCCTCAGTCTTTCTGGAATTTTCTTTCTCCAGTGTTTAAGAAAGTGAAGGCAGACGTCCAGTTGCCCAAGAAACAGGACCGCAGCAGGAAGGAGTGGAGCACAACTGTTAGCACACTGCACACGCATGCATATGTGGATACGTGTGCATGTTAGTCATGTTTGCATGCGGGTTTTCTCTCTCACTCCTTTGCTAAAGGTGTAGGAGACAAAACTCAGCAAGCACAAATGCAGGTCTAAGAGTTTTCCGGTTGTCTCTGTCAGGGCTTTAATTATGGAATCATGGGTCATGTCATCAAAAGGCCGTTTGACTTTTTTCCTCGCCTGTTTGTATCCCTTTTATTTCTCCTCTCTCACTGTTCTAGCTAATACTTAAGACACTGTGTTGGATAACAAGGGAGAGAGTGGAAACCCTTGTCTCCTTGTGTCTATTGAAGTTTCTGAAGTCTATATTATGTCCTAAAATAATATGTTTGCTATATTATACTTAATTATATATGTTGAACCATTCTTATCTTTGCTCAGAAGCCAGCCCAACTTGGCAAAGGTATCCAATCCTATTAATGTGTTGTTGAATTTGGCTTGCAAATATTATATCAAAAATTTTTGCATTTATGTTTATTTAGGGATATCGTTCTTTTTTGCTCTTTACCTCTCTGGTTTTGGCTTCTTAATATGAGTTGGTAGTAATCATTTCCTAAATTATGGAACAGTTTTAGGAACATTGGTGTTAGCTCTTTAGTAGTCTGATAGAATTTAACATCAACTCTTTCTGGATTATATATGTATTTTGTATAAAACAATTTCTGAGATAGATTTATAGAAATATTACAGCATTTAAAAATTATTCTTTTGATGCCTGCCAGGTCTGTGGATTTAAACTTTCTTCCATCCGTTGATCCTGAGACAGTTCTTCAGACAGGTAAAGTAGAAAAAAAAAAACATCATTTATTAGTGATCATAATAATAATCTAGTAAACAAAGTATGATTCTCTTTAAAAAGTTTATTCAGCACATATGTGGGTAATGTAGTAGGAATTTAAAGGGAAGATGTTCAAACTGCTTTAGGATTAACCTGATGGTGTTTAATATAATATTTAAAATTAATAATGATTAATTATTTTCTCCTGGAAGTACTGGATTTGTTTCCTATTTTATGAAGTGGATTTCACAAAGTGCAGTTGATTCTGTCTCATTGGGTTGTTAGGAGGACTTTCTTTGTGCTGTGTTCCCTCAACAACATTTGACATAATTAGTATTATTGTCTCTGTTTTATACCTCAAGAAGTCAAGGCTTAGAGGTAAAAAATAACCTAAGGAAGTAAGTTGTTCAGAATCAATAAAGAAAATTTATCGTTGTAGCTCCAAGCAGGTCCAAGTGCAGAGGCGCCAGTTACAGCAGTTTGTAATCATCTGTAAGAAACGCTGAGCCCTTGGCAGTGGCATTGTGTACTGACACCCCATGTTTCATGTAGCATGTGTCCTGGTCCCATGTCTGTAGAAGAGATCCATTGATTCTAGAAGAATGAATTAGAAGTCCTTTAATGAAATACTGCAGCTTTATTTCTAACCCTCTTAAATAACTAATAGCTCATACTTCCATCTTACTGGGGTCCAGGAAAAATCTAAGTGTTCTCTGTATGCTAACTCATGTATCCTTCCACACAGTCTGTGAGGTAAGTCTTGTTACTACATCGCTTTTAAAAGGGATGCAACCAGAGCATAAATGGTTAAGATGAGCCCAGGCTTATTGATCCCAGGAGGTAGAGTCAGGAAGATAACAGGTTTGAGGCCTGCCTGATCCACAGTGCGAGTTAAGTGAACGCTTGAGGGACCTGTGGAGACCTCATCTTAACACCAAGAATGCGAGAAGGGCTGCAGATGCCCCTCAGGAGCAGCACACTTTGCTAGCGTGCATGAGGCCCCAGGCCGTTCCTTCATGGGCCGAGTTTTTCATGCATATATACCGCCAGCAAGTTCTGTAGTCAGAACCTGAACCCAGGCAGGGAGCTGCCAGATTGTTTTCTGAGATAATTGTCCTAAATGTTCTCTGGTAAAAATGGTACCCACAAGGAAAATGCTAAGATGACAATCATCAGAGTAGAAAAAGAGATGAGTGTATTCTGATGTTAATGACACACATGTTATCTATATGGAGTCCATGCAAAGACTCAGATGTGTCTTAAGTATTTGCAGTTTTTAAAACAAGTGTTTTTCCAATTATAAAATGCCAGGAATAATTTATTAAAATCTGAATAGTTCTGATGTATTTGTTCAGCTGTATTTCAGTTTTCAATATGATACAGATCTTATTTCGGTAGGGAGCAAAGAAATGCTTATACCCCATAAATTATATATTTAGAAATTACAGTAGTTGGTCAGTAAAAGTACAATTTTTATAAGGCTTAATTTCATGAATTATTTAACATTTTTGAAAGCATTTTATTTTAAGCCATTGATCTAAGAACATTTTAAATATTTATATATATGCACTAAGTTTTGTTTTATATTCTCTGAACACTTAAAGTAGGCATTGAAAGTATATAATGGAGATTTAGAACAATCTAGATTTTTTTTTAAAGAAATTGGTTATATTTGAAAGCTATAATAAAAATTCTCTTTCTAGACTTTAAAAGCCATTTAAATTTAGGATACATTATTTCAGAATAAAGATGAGAAGAAAATTTATAATGTGTACATATTTTTTGATACTTATGTGATAATCAGAGTAGTTTCATCCTGGGAAAATGGTCTCTTTATTTTTGAGATTGTAAATGTGCCTACAGCTTTGTCGTGTCTGAGCAGATTCCTGAGTGAGCTTGCTGCAGTTCTTCCACCCCCGTGGCCTGCTCACTAGTCAGTCTGTTCAAAACACTCCTGTAGAGATTATTTCAGTTTTGTTTTGCACTGCTCATGAGGCTTTCCTCAGGTTACCGTGATCCCTTTGCTTCTCTGTCAACTTCTCTTTTAAGTGCTGTGCTCGACAACTTGAACTACTATTTCTTGAATTAGTAATGAAAATTCTAGCGTGTAATTTTGCTCCACAGAGGAAGACAATTTAGTGCCACAGTATCTTGAGTAATAATCCAGCAAGAATCTGACAAATACATATTAATGCACATGTGCTCCGTTTACTATGGGATGTAGGGTGAATTTGTTCACACAACTGGCCATTTGTTCAGTCCATATAAAATAATTATGTTCTCGTCTGTGTGCACATATGCAGTGTGCTATGTGAGGTTTCCACTTGCACTTCGTTCCTTACAGGAGGGCGGGGTAGGTGTTAAGGCGGGGCTAGGACTGAGGAGATCAGCATGTAGGGACTGTGCTCTGTGGGCATTAATCGCCAGTCTCTTTTGTAAAGGGCACGAGTTGTTGTCTGAGTTGCAGCAGCGTCGGTTTAACGGCTCCGACGGAGGGGTCTCGTGGTCGCCCATGGATGATGAGCTGCTGGCCCAGCCGCAGGTTATGAAGCTGCTCGACTCGCTCCGGGAGCAGTACACGCGCTACCAGGAAGTGTGCAGGCAGCGCAGCAAGCGCACGCAGCTGGAGGAGATCCAGCAGAAGGTGACGCAGGTGGGTCCCGCCCGCCGCCTCTCAGGCGGTGCGTGCAGCGTCGGTCCTCGCGGTGTCTGTCTGTGACGATGGTGCTGAATCTTGTTCATGTCAAGCAGAGAACTTGAGAGATCTCAGACTGGATTCATATCTTTGTAATCTACGTTAAAGTTATACTGTTTCTGCAATGGTGGGGTTCATCATTTAACTCCCTAATGGAAGGGACATCGAAACAAATGTTCTATATATTCACTTAATTCATAAAATTTGAACATGGTTGCTTGAGTTCTTCTTAGTTTCTAAAACTTAATAGTTTGTTCACTATCCCTGTAGAGTATTCTATTCTAGCATTCAAAGGTAGTACATGCAATGTAGGTCATTCTAACATAAAGTTTATTTTTATGCTATTATAAAAATGTTAAATATACTTATGAATTTTAGTTGCTTTTAGAATTGGTTTTCATACAGAATATGGCTGAACATACCAAAAAATAAATATTAGACGTTTCTCGTCATTAGATTATGGTGGATTTTTAATCTACTGAACAATTAAGAAAATAAATCTTTAAGTTATTTTATTTGAAGATACAAGCTGGAGCCGCTGGAGAGATGACTCAGCAGTAATAGAGTGCTGCTCTCTACTGCTCTCGAGAGGACGTGGGTTCAGTTCCCAGTACCCACCTCAGGGCCTCCCAGTTACTGCTACCTCTAGCTCCTGGGAGTGTGGTGCTGTGTTCTCTGCCCTCCGTGGGTACCTGCGCTTGTATGTGCATGCACACACACACACACACACACACACACACACACACACACACACACAGAATCAGGATTAAAGCAGACCTTTACAAATAAGCACAAGCAGCCTGAAATCCTTCAGTGTGTCTTTTTACATCTAGATTTCATTGATTTTCTAGGTAAATATTTACAAAGGCTTCATATGTGTTAGGAATGTACTAGATTTTATACAAGTTAGAAAAGTAGATTTAGTTTTGGTGCTTGTTAAGCTTAAGGAGGAAAGGCATGAAAGGGAAGAAGCAGAGCATTCTAGGCGTTTCTCGAGGGATCCCTCTGTGGTTGCTGTAGTCTGGGAAGGCCTAATGGGAGGAAGTAGCGGTTGGTTTATGCAGGAGTGGAATATTTCACCACCCAGAAAGGAGGCTCCATTTTCTGGTGCCTAGAGAAGAGCGCAATGAGGAATTTGGGGTCTTGGGCTGCCCCAGATTCTATAGAGCATCTTCTCATAATTGAGACACGTATAGGACCACTTTTAGAAGGCTAGTGTTCAGCAAGGAACCAGCGCTCTAACGGTGGTGCATATTTGCTAAGCTAGACCTTGAGAGCAATGTCCAGCCTGCTTTGTGGCCAGGACGGCAGTGTCACATGGAAAAACTCATGGATGGTTTCATTACCAGTGGGTAACAGGTTGGACACTTCTTTGAATGCGTGGCCCAAGGTAATTGTCATCCGATGTGGCATAGCAGAGCCAAAATGCCCCTGCTGTAACCATTAGCTGACTTTAGCTGTAAAGGCTAGAAGGCTAGGCTTCATGGACCATATGGTGTTTTTGTAGTTGCAGCGACTTGGCCTTTATTGTATAATGAATGTATAAGTATAGTATATGTATATGAATGTACACAGTCTCTTTCAATGAAACTTTATCTTAAAAATGGGTAATGGGCCAGATTTGGCCTGTGGGTTGTAGCTTGCTGACCTCTATCTGAATCTGTAGCACGTCATAGGAAGAAAGATGTGAGAGGACGATGTTGAATTCCAGACAGAAAATTGAGGCTTTACATTAATCACATGTAAACTAAAGATGTCTGAGCTTATATTTAATTGTGACTCTTTCCATGTACTCATTAGTATGTTAAAGGCAGTCTGTATTAAGCCTCAGTAAGCTTTAGCCCTTATGATGGAATTGTCTTTGACAAGCACAGAGACGAAATGGCATGGTGGTTAGGACAAGACTCAGATTCTGAATACAGGCCGTCTGGGTGTGGCCTCTTCTTTTTCCAAGCAGGTTAGCCTTGGATAACTGTTGGGTGACTATTCTGTGCCCTCATTTCATCCTCCACAGAGGAATTCCAGCACTAACTAGCAACACACCGGTTAACCAAGACTTTTAAGTGCAGAATTAAGGTGATAATTTTACAAGATCCTTAATGCCTGATGTGGAACAAGTTCTGGCTTTTGGATTTGTCAAAAGCGATAAGAATCATCACCCACATGTACTTTGCTGAGTAGATAAGATAAAAGATGTCAGTATATTGAAAATGCATTTTTAAAATGCCCAATTAAGAGATTATAGCAGGGAGATGATGACAATGGTGATTGTAGTGATGGTGATGATGCTATTTATAACGGTAGTGATGATGGCGCTGCCGCTGCTGATGTTGATAATGACTTTGGTGTTAGTTAACAGATCATTTGTAAAAAGAGACAACTTTCATTGCAGCTCAGGTTTTGTTTCTTTGTTTTTAATTTCTGTTAAAGATAAGGTCTCACTTTGTGGCCCAGGAAGACCATGAGCTCTCTATCGTCCTGCCTCCTGCCTCAGCTTTCTGAATGCTGGGATGGCAGGCAGTGTGGCCACACCTGGCTGTTTACCTTATGAACCTGCCGATATGCTGGCTCACCACTGCTGAGCATGCAGCGTTCCCACAGACCACAGGTCAAAGACCAAGTTCCCTCTCCAAAAGGATTGTTTAAACCTAACTACAGCAACATGTGAATGGCATGTTGAACACATGGCACACACCGTAGTGTCTTTCAGATTTGGAGGAATTCAGTTCATATAAAGCTAACTGGAAAGGTGCACACACATGTGTTTTTGTCAAGTCAGTGCAAACTGACTTTTGCGGGGCATACCTGTGCTGGCCTGTCGCTGAGGACGGGATGTGTGAGCCGTCGGCAGTTCTAGGTAAACTGTGTGCTAAGCTGTCACGTGGTGATTTCAGCCGCAGTTTAGATCAGCAGGGTCGGGCTTCAGAGGAATTCGGCTATCCTCCGTCTGCTTCCGTGAAGCAACCCTGGGTCGGCCACAGCACCGCTTTCCTGAAGAGCCTGTGGGCTTTCCCATCTCTTACTGTGGCAGCACTGCAGGCATTATTTTTAGGACAGCGCAGTATGTCTCCTCCATTCTGGAGAGAGGCCATGGGTGCCAAGCCACGGGTGCCAAGGAGGATGCACTCGCAGTTGCCTGAGTGCACAGCTGGAGGCCGTGTCCGCAGTGGCTGAGCCCCTCCTGCAGTCAGGCGCTTGTCTGCCCTCCTGCCGGCTTGACCTTGTATGCGTCCTGATGTTCCCTCCTGCGCTCCAGTATAAAACAGTAGCGGATCATTAGAGGCATTTTTGTCCTGTGCAAATATTTGTTCTCCCAGGTTTTAAGGATACACCTCTAAGGTCATACTTTGCATTCAACTGTATTAATAACTGTTTAGGGGTCCTATTGCTATAAATTGTGTATAGAGCTGTCTCTGAAATAAGTTAACACTCATACTTGATAGTGAAGTGTGAATGAAGAATTTTATAACACCGTTTGGCAAGGCACCATCATAGATGCAGTTAAATAGACTTGTTTCCTGGACATTGGCCTCAATTTGAATAATGTTATTAGAAATAGTCATACAGTTACTGCATGTACACTACGACCTTACATACTGAGGAAAGTCAGTTTCTGTGTGTGTTAAAGCTGTGTACTATTGGTCATGTAACTGGGTTTCTCTGTCAATGAGCTGTCTCTCCTTTATATGAAATTCATGTTCAGGTTTCTGGCTTCTCTACAGTTGGTTCTGCTCTCTTCCTCACTTTTGTGTCTTTACTGACATGGCAGACAGACTAATGATGAAGAGCAAAGCTTTGCCTTGTGTAGTTAGTTCTATAGGCCAGAAAACCCAGGGTCAGGAGATCTCTTTCTGATTAGGGCTATCTTGCTGTGTAGAAGGCAAAGAGGCAAGAGTTTGATCGAGAAGTAGGCAGTGCAGAAACACACGAGGGTGAGTTAATCAGCAGGCACAGTGGCCCCCGTGTTGAAACTAACTCTGCCTTCACCTCAGATGTGGTGCACAGGGCTGCTGCTGCTATGAGACTTACTGTGGGACTGTGTAACTCCCAGGCTCTGTGCTTTTCCACCTTCCCTGTAGTCTAGCTCCTTCTATCCTCTCAGGCCTTACGATTTGTCTCTCATCTGTGTTTTCCCATAAGGTTTGCAGGTTTCTTTAAAAACTCCTGTCTGTCTTAACTGCTGAATCTATCACTGAAACATGGGCCAGTAATGAGGGTCTTAGATACACCCACTGGAGTGTCCTGAAAGGAGCCTGCACACCCCCATCAAGGTCAGGAAACAGCATCTTTCAGCTTGGGAACAGAGTCAGGATTCATGTCTCCTCTGTGAACATGATGCTGGCTGGTGGAATGAAGCAGGGTGTAGAGCCTGCTCCCCTAGAGGCAGGTCCTCGGAAAGACTGAGGAGGAGGCGGTGAAGATGGTGGCGAGCAGACCCTGTGTTACTCTGAAGAGCACCTGCCGGTAGAGTGCATGAAGAGCTTGACCACAGAGCGCAGGCGGAAGAAAGCCCAGCACAGTTATTCCAGTGACTCAGCAGTAATGCTCTTTTAATTTTGAGCTTGTATTGAGCCTTAAAATAGAAGTCTGTATATTAAGGCGGTAGAATATAAGATAAAAAACCAAAGAGAAACCACAGGAGCCTCCCCCCCCCCACACACACATGAAGTAAACAGACATTTGCACTGAATTCAGTTATTAGTTACTACTAATTCCTGTATGGATGGATTTCTCTTCTAGCTGGCAGGAGTATTTCCACAACAATAGTTTGTATACCTTGCAAAGGCTGTTGAAAATATAGTCAAAACTCGTCATTAGGTGTTCTGGATAGAAGCAAGTATTTCGCTCATGCCATTAGCCATGAGCATTCTCGTCTTTGACAACAGTGGACACTTTTAGAGAAAATAGTGTGTCTGACTGCTGCACAGGCTCATCACATACCCGTGCAACGAGAGTCTTGACCACAGATGCAGCAGGTTCATGAAGTAGCGCATCTTGGGGTTAGAGTGGGCTGGATGGGTCGACTGATTGGACAGTTGGAGAGAGGCAGGCGAGGAGGTGCCTGCTTAAAATGAGGTTTGTAAACTCATCGAAAAGTATTGTAGTTGCAGCATGGAAAATTACTACAGTATTGCAGGTTAGTGCTAAGTGAACAACCACAAGATAGAAATCACTTGGATCTTGAGAGTTGGGTGAAACAAATACATCTAGAAAGATACAGGAGGAAAACGGCTTTGAAGATTAACAGAAGGAAATGCACATGATTTCCTTATGCTGTATGCTCGTACAGTTATAAAAAGGAATGCACAAACATTTAAAACAGCATGTGTTATCCCTGTGTTAGCAGAAGTGTACCACAGCAGACAGGCTGCTCTTCGCTATTTTGAGGCCAGCCCAGCAAGCAATGGTGGCTTCTGCACTCACTTTCCGACAACTGCCCTCTAGGTTTAGGTTTAGGTCACTAGACATCTAGTCTCAGGGTTCCTGTTGTAGCTTAGTGACAGATGACGCTTGGAGATGCTCTTTCCACTCTGCTTTGTTTGAATTTGTTAACAGTGAGTGTGTAGGAGGAGTGAGGGAAACCTGCCTTTGTCTGATCTTAGCTCTGTGCCTCCAATTACCTGATAAAGGCTGACGGGTAAACACTGGTACTTGGTAATGTTGCTTCTGCTAAAATTCACCCAGGGTCTGGTCTGAACTGTTAATATTTGATGGGATACAACTTTGAGCATGTTCGAGATCAGTGATTCATGAGGGAGCATGAGGTTTTGATGCTACAATGACTCTCCTATCTACTCCAAATGGTTCTTTCCTCCTTTCTCCTGCTTCTGCTGGGTCCTGTCATGCTGGCAAATTGTAGACCTCCTCCCCGCCAATATTCTGTTGAGCGGAGTGTGGGACTTCTCTCAAGAAGTCTGAGTGTTTATCCTAGGAAGACACCTAGAGAGTATTAAAGTATTCTCATTCTGCAGTTGGCTACTAAAGTGAGAAAGTAGGGTTTTAACTTTGCTCCCTAACTCTGTTTTTAGGGCTTTGGAAAGAATATTCCACGGGATCATTACCCATGTCCTTTTGGTCCTAGTTTTTCAGTAGTATATTGTTACCTTGGACAAGTCGTTTAATTTCTGAAACTCGACTTTCTGAAGTGTGAGGTAAAACCTCTCACCAATGTCATTTCTGATGTCCTTCCCAACCCCAAACCCTGCAGTTATGGATCTCTTATTATAAGTAAAACTTAACCTTCTTTATAGAAGCATTGAGTGTCGCCACCCCCTCCTCATCCCCCGCGCCAGCCCGTCAGATGGTCGGGTAGCTGAGCCAAGTGTTAGCTACAAAGTTCATCCTTCTTAATTCCGGTTTTTGGAAATAATATCCAGTATAAATACATAATTCCAAATGAGCATGTACTGCCAGTGATACGCAATAGAATTTAAATTATTGAAGTTATAAACATGTGGGGAATTTAGGAATTAAGGGAAGAGAAACTAATGAGAATGAAAATTTGAAAAGAGCTTTTGGTTATTCTCATTTCCCTTTTCCTTTGTAGGTTGTGAATTGGCTGGAAGGGCCTGGGTCTGAGCAGCTGAGAGCACAGTGGGGCATCGGCGACTCCATCAGGGCTTCCCAGGCCCTGCAGCAGAAGCACGAGGAGATCGAGAGTCAGCACAGCGTGAGGACCTTTCCCTCTGCGAGGCACAGTGGGGCCTCCCACGGGCATCACTAGTAGTTGGGGGATGCTGAGTGCTGTGTACTGGGTTGTTCCCCATGTTGCAGTAGGGACAGAGTGCTCATGCTGAGTGCCCAGAGATCTGAAGGTACACTCCAACAGTACATGATCAGTGATAGTGTGGGCTTGATTCCCAGAGGCTTCCATGGCTTTGTTTCAGAAGGACGATTTGGGTGTTGTTTACAGTATCAGGGAAAAGGTGACCAAAAACTACAGATCCTTTCTCAGCAGTCCTGAGATAGAAACTTCTGGTTTTAACTGTCGTTTTAGCAAGTATTGTTCATGTACACTGTGGTTTCACTGTGACATTCTTATACTTGCATTTCAAATACTCCGATCATATTCACTTCCCTCTTCAAACTCTCAGTTGCCCCTTACCCTGTTTCTCACTGCTGCCTTTCCTTTTCCAAGTGACACTCCTGTAGGCCTCAGAGAGAGGAACCCCACCACAGCCACTGTGTTAAACCCAGCTGTGGATCCGAGGATGTGGGATAGACCTGTCTGTTCTCTGTTGGTTAAAGATTTACTCTAGGGAATCAGATATAGATTGGGCAATAAATTAATCCCAAAACTGGCTGCAGATAATAATGGCTCAAGAGAATTTGAAATGTAAAAGTTGGTAAGTGAAGGCACCAGTGTTGTTTGGCTTCTGCTGTGGGGTAGTGAGCCTGGCCTCAATGAGAAAGCCACATTCAGCTTGGGAGGAAGACCTTCCGTCCCCTCAGCCATGTTGCTTATGTTGATTTTAAGTGGACTGAATACAAAATTGGAAAAATTAAAATTAAATCTGTTAATTTGCATCTCCTTAGAATATCTTCAAAAACTAGTCAGAAGTAACAATGGTGAACCCATAAGAAACTTAGAAATTAAATCCTATAACTGAAAATATATACATTTTAATGTATTTCACAGTTTCCAACATGGATCTCTCTTTCATGGTTAAACAAAGTTGTAAGTGGATAACTTATGAGCCCTGTTCCTGGGATAATAATCTTCTTAATTTTCTTGATCCTTTTCAAATGATGTAATGCTATTGAGTTGTTTGGGTTTTGGTTTTGTTTTATTTTTGATAGGGATTTAGTTTGTTAGAACTGTGTATATTATTCTGGAGTACATTATTATAGTATAAATGGATTCTATAATTAGTTTCCTTATTTAGTTCTTGAAAACAATATATGTCATAGAGCATTCTGACTTCATCTGAGAGGTCTTAATTACATAAGACTTCTAGTGAGGGCTTGTGATGTGAGGATCCTGAAGGCAGGTCATTATGTTTTGTTATTTAAAAAGAGAGAGAGAGAGGGAAACACTTGTAGGTGTAAAATGAATTATCACATACCATGTGTAAGCTGACATTGGCTACGAAGCACATTGCGTGTTTTGTAAGTCTAGACAAATGTGCAGATTTATCCATGGACATGCCTGCATAACGTCTGTACACGATCGTTAAGTTACTTCAAAGAGGCAGCATGTTTATGGAGCCTTTGGCTGCAGCGTACATTTGTGTTTTGAAATGTATGCAGAACTGTTACATTGGATCGGACCATGTAGATTCCAGATGCCACCACGCTGTTGACAGACGATACTGGCGTCAGAGCGGATCTCTGTGCCCGAATGATCTCCTTTCTGTTTCGTTCTTAGAGAAACCACTCAACATAAGGAGTGAACTTAAGAGACAATGTGGTCTAGCTTGTGTCTTAGTTCTTGAGCTGTTAGTACTTGGGGACTTACATAGCTAAATTGACATCTGAGAAACACTTATGGCCCATTGTAGATGTCACATAAGTCATGTGTGGTATTTGGCATTCATTGTATGATTGGGAGGTGTGGAAAGAGTGTTTGGGAGTGTGGATGAAATGGAGTCAGCCGCAGGCTGATAACTGCTGAAGCTTGGTGGATCATTTTGCTTGGTTGTACTTTCATTAGATTTGAAATTCTCCCTGAAAGGCTTAAAAAGAGGAGTGTACTGTTCTGACCAATAGGTGGCACTACACTGTTGCCTTGTGAATGGGTTGGTTGGCCTGCTTATGATAGTTAAGTCTCTAATATTCAGTATTTTATTAAGACTTTCTTAGCTTGGTATGGTATGCCATATACCTGTAATCTCAGGCAAAGGATGGAGAATTACCACAAGTTTGAGCCCAGTCTGGTCAACATAGCCAGTTGTAGATCATCCAGGGCTACATAGTGAGACTCCTCCATCTCAAAACCACCAACCAACCAACCAACCAACCAACCAACCAACCAACCAACCAACCAACCAGAAACCCGACAACAAAATAAAACTCTGTTCTTTGAAAATAAGACCCAAATGTTGAAAGCATTCATTGGTGTTTTTCAGGTCTTGTATAGTAGTGACAAAATTCTAGTATTGATAGCTAACAAAGAAGTTGGAACATTTTTACTATATCATTTGCATTTAATTACAGTGTCCAGCATTAAATTTCAAATTTCACATAAAAGCATAATGGAGAACTAAAACCTCCAATGTGTTTGTTTAGGATTAATGTAAAGAAGAAGACTCCTACCAACATGCAGTTTTTTGCACAGGATTATGGGTTGGAAATTCACTCAGCTTTTTAATACTACAGGGAAATAGAGACGTGGTGGGTGTAGAATCTGATCACAGATGTGAATGTGTCTAATTGAAGCGGGGTGGGTGTGGTGTGGCGTACCTGTAACCTCAGAGCTGTAAGAATTCCAAATTGGAAGACAGTCTTCTCTCCAAACCTTCAAAAACTATACAAAAGAGTTTTCGTCCAGCACAAGCCTTACTTGTACAATTTGGCAGAGGCACACATAGTGGGAAAGCTGTGGTAAGAGTGAAGTGTAGTCTCTGGAGCCGTTTTGGCGTTCAGCCAGTGGCCTAGCCTCGGAGGCCGAGAGCTCCTGGTGTGCCATCTGATAGCAGCCAGCAGCATGGCTTTGCTTGAGGAATCAAGGCACGAACCCTCTTGATAAAGACCATGTGGGAATCGCCTTGGTAACCTGGCCTGACAGTTTCTTTCCCCTGCATTAGGATGCTTGTTCTGGTAAAGGTCATTCCAGCTGTGCACCACCACACACACTGGTGGCAGAGACCTGACCTCGTGCTATAAAGAAGGCATTCAGGCTCATCGGCCACCCAACAGTTGGAATTCAAGCCCCAGATTTTGTGTGTCTTCATTTTACCATACTCAGTCATTTTCCGTACAACAGATGTGCAAGCCAGGTAGATCAGAGTATTCACATCAAAGGCAGCGTGCTCACCTGAGCTCACATGTACCCTACACACCCCTTTTAAAGGGAGAAACACTTTAATTAATTTTCAGTAAATCTTATAGGCAAGCCGGGTCTTCGTTGACCCCCATCCTCGACAGGCTGATCTGACTCTTTGACAACTTCAGTTATGTAAATCAGTGAAATCCGTATCTCTGATCAAGGTATTGATTTGGGGGCATGCCAGCCCTTGTGTTATAGTTACACCCCTGTCAAGGTTACAAGAACCTGAATTCCCTGGGCCCCCCAAACAGTTTAGACTGCTTGATATGCACCAAGCCAACTGAAGCTTGAAGTTCTCAGTGAGAAACTGTGTTCTAGAACACTAACCAGCCCCTTAGTTTATTGCTTTGCTTAAAATCATTGCAACTTCTTTTTCAGGAACTGGACACATTTCTGCAGAATACTAACTAAATTTCTAAGTGCTATAAATACGACAGTGAAATCACTTTCTATTTGAGAGCATGATAACAATTTTCTCCACGATACTTTTCTCACGAAAGTAGCCATTCTTGAGCTGGAGAGAAGGGGCTGCTTCCGAGCCTGGTGGCCCGACTTGTATCGTCTGTACCCACATGGGGGGAGGAGAGACCCCACTTCCAAGAGTTGCCCTCTGACCTCCCTCCGTGCAGCCCATTAGCACCTACACCCCCCACGTGCACACAAAACACACACGCGTGAAACAAGGTTCAGCGACTCTCTCTATCAGTCATTGGAATAACTTCATATTTTTAAAAACACCTTAGAAACAAATTGTTTCTAAAATAATCAATAAGATGGTGAGACAATCCTTACTACTACCATTAGGCCCACAGTGACGACCTTTACAGTGTGACAGTGTAGGCTTGTAGGACTTTGTTGTATGGGTTCCCATATGTATTGCTACTGTGTTCTTAGTCGTGTGAACGGAAAATACGTTCAGACGTTGCCATACTGAATTGGATATCAAGTCTGCACTGTCTGTCGCATTGTGCGTATTTGCTCAGCGTGTGCCAGCTTAGCACATTGCTCTGAATGCTTGAGTTACAGCAGAGCCTTGCCGTGTGGAATTTCAGTCAAGTCAGGAGCGACGGGGAGTAGAGAGCAGCAGAGGTGTCGTGTTGGGGAAAGGCCTCTCTGAGGAGATGAGTTGCCCATTCTTGAAATGTGGTGAGGGGGTAATTCCTACAGAAGACACCTGAGATAGAAAACCCATGCTGGAGAGATGACGGAGATGTGATGTTCCCAGGGAACAGGGAGCACAGAGACAGAAGCCCCAGTGCCAAGGGAGAGTCTGTGGCCGGGATGTGTGATGACCTTCAACCTGTGGGAAGGAACTAAGGCTGCTTCACAGGGAGTGTGCAAGTCTTGGCACACGTTGACCATGGACTCGTATGGAGTGTAGCGTTAGAGACAATAACAAGGAAGAACTAACAAGTGTTACAGAGGCAGCGGACATTTGAGGAGACGTTAACTTCACACAGCAGAGCCAGCAGTACTCTTTGGTGGGGGACCGAAGCTTTGGGAATTTTTTAGTACACATGACATGATTGATTGGTTTTAGAAGAATGGAAGTACAAAATTAGGAGAACGTTAGGAGAAATTCAAAAGAATAGGAAATGAGAGAAAATGAGTGTTGAAAACTCTTGTAAAGGAGTGTGTGTGTGTGTGTGCATTTCTGTATGAGTTTGCATGTGTTCATGTTTGCATGTATGTGAAAGTAAGCATGTATGTGTGACTTAAAACATATTAAAATGTAGACACCCTAGAATGTGCCCTTAAATATGTCTTAGCTGATTACATGTGATGAAAGCAACCCAGGTGAGGAGCGCTGGCGGGTGACACAGACAGCGCTGCTGCAGAAGCAAAGCTGTGCGGCAGCGGCAGCGGCAGCGGCAGCGGACGGGCTGCCCTGAGTCCCCGAGCCATGGCTGCAGGCGCGGGCTCAGCTGTGAGGCGAGGTGCAGGGCTCCAGTGGAGGTCGGCGTTTCAGGTGGGGTCAGAGGAGAAGCAGGATCCTAGGAACTGAACGCTCTCTCGTCCCTGCATGTACTCAGTACGTGGGAGGCGAGTGCGTGTGCACAGGTTGTGAAACTGAAGGGAGATCATGGAAGAGGGTTACGAGGTTCTGAGAAGGGAGTGCGGAGGCCAATAAGACACATGGAATGTGAAAGTGGAAAGGAGGGTGTGTGTGTGTGTGTGTGTGTGTGTGTGTGTGTTGGTGGATGGGGAGCACGGGCAGTGCTGAGAATGTTTGGAGAAAGGGGGAAGAAGAATAAACAAAAAAGGATTTTTTTGAAAATGATATTACAGAATAAAACTTAATCCTTGTGTACGGCAAGCTTTTTAAATGATAAAAAACTGAGGTCTTTGATATGACCGAAGCACAAAGTGGGAGATATGCACCCTTGGTACTGCTACAGCTCCGGAACCCTTAATGTGTCCAGCTAATATGTGGTAGTTCCTGTAAGTTGTTTAAGGAAAGGCCACCTATTTGGCCGAAAGACAAGTCCTTAAAAGAGAGCAGGAGATGGAAGGAGCGAGGAGACGGAATCGTGAGAACGGAAAAAAGGACTAGAGAGACGGGAACAGTGCCAAGGTCTGGGGGATAGTGACAGCCTTAAAAGGCCTGCACACTTCCTGCCCCTCCCCACCCGCCAGTGTGGGCAGCAAGCACTGAAACTGTGTCTTTACGTGGCATAAACGCTGAGGGACTGAGGTGTTGGTAAGCCACATAGCTGTGGAGTGCCACTGTGCCGTGTGCTCTGCCAGGACCATGCTTGTGTGGTGCGCAGCTGTAGTGCCCGAGCCACCCGTGGCCGCCGTAGCTGCGGTACATCAGTAGGAGGAAGCATGGCCTGGCTCTAAGCGCAGGTGGGCATAGCCTTTGATGCAGGAGGCTGCCAAGTTCCGGACGGTACACCTGTTGGACAGTGATTGGTGGACCCGTGGGATTATAGGTGTGGGCCTGCTGGAGGACAGCTGGGGTCAGAACTTGCAGATCAGAGAATGGGGTTCATGAGGTCATGCTTTAGGGAGCTGTGCAGCAGTAAGCAATTAGTTTTTATGGCGTCTGCGGTAGGTCAGTGAGATGATGTGAGACTATATAGTTGAGAAAGAATCTTCGAGTCAGGGAGACAAGTTCTACAGTTGGCGTTGATAGGTGTCTTTATGGTGGAAGTGTGCTGAGAGAAAGCCAAGCCTTTGCCACACCCCTGGTGGGGTAAAATTCAGATTCAGCAGTGTGCACTGAGAAAGTGGTGAGGTTTGGGAGAGCAGACTAGAAACAGAGTGGAGCTAACAGTGAGGAATGGCCTAACCGTGAACCCACCCAGGCCTGTGGGCCCTTGGTGGTAAGGACTATAGTTGGTCTGGGGAAACGTCAGGGGCCCTGTGTTTTCTGAGTTAAATTGGCATCCCTTAGAGCAGAGAAGAAGGGGCCTTTTAGAAGGCTCGGGGTAGACGGGTTTGGGCTGGCTTCAGGGACCACCGTGGACGGACTTGAGGGATCCTCTCAGATCTTCTCCTGTGGAGAAACCATGGCCAGCGCCCCAGGGGCCTGCTGACCTTGGGTGCTGACCCCCAGGAGCCTTCTGACCTTCGGTGCTCTGCTGTGCCCCTGCTGCAGGAGTGGTTCGCGGTGTATGTGGAGCTCAACCAGCAGATTGCAGCCCTCTTGAACGCTGGGGACGAGGAGGACCTTGTGGAGCTGAAGTCTCTGCAGCAGCAGCTGAGCGATGTGTGCTACCGGCAGGCCAGTCAGCTCGAATTCAGGCAGAACCTCCTGCAGGCGGCTCTGGAATTTCATGGTGTGGCCCAAGATGTGAGTACCTGCTCTGATTGCTTTCCATGTCACCAAACGGTACAAACAATATGCGTAAAACTTTTGTAGGTTTGCATGCCCCGTGATTACTTTTCTGGGACAGTAATTTACTGGTGGAGGTAATGAAATGAAATCCTTTAATTAGAAGTTATTTTGTTATTCTGCATGCGACTAAGCCTATTGTCTAATTAAGCCTAATGTCTAAGAGCATTCCAAGCTAGCTGCTGGCTTTGATGGTTTCTCCGTGCGTATGTTTTGTAACATAGACGGAAATGGAGCCATCGGTAACTTCCTGCACTCTGCTGACCCTCCTGGTGCATGCATTAGTGTGTCCCATCCGTAGATAACACGTGTTCTGATTGCTCGTCCTTATCTTTTAACTGCGTAGTCTCTCCAAGTGCACTGTGACGACCTCATTAGCTAAAGCCCATTAATCCCTGAAGCCTTGAGATGCCGGTTACATGAGGCTTGTCTCTCTGTCCCTCTGCTTCAGTTGTCTCAGCAGTTGGACGGCTTATTAGGGATGTTGTGCGTAGACGTAGCGCCAGCTGACGGAGCATCGATTCAGCAAACTTTAAAACTGCTTGAAGAGAAGCTGAAAAGTGTTGGTAAGCAGATTTTAAAAGCGCTGAAACCAGAGAGTTCTCTTAAAAATATCACCATGCGTAGACAATTCATTTATATACCGAACTAATTATCATTTGCAGGGAACACAGAAAACATAATATTGAAAGGTTTTATTCCCTTGAAGGGTTATGATTTGATTTATGCTAAAACATTTCTTTTCCATTGTGGTTGGGCAGCCCTGCCTTCCTTGGGCCCTTCACCTTCCTGTTACTCAGTCGATCTAAAGGTGCTGTGTCTTGCTAGTTCAGGGACAGTTATTTTAAATGCATGCGGAAACCGTAATTACTCGTGAATGTTCCAGGGCAAACCCTGCATGCCTTGACCGGTGTTTGACGTGGTGATTTTGTTGTTGCTGTATTCTAACCAAGAGAAAGCGAACAGTTGGTTTGAGTTTGTGCATCGTATCTCCACACTGGGAATAATCTCCAAGGGAAGTGTGGTCCAGTTTCATTAACCCAGCTCTGTCACTGGACATCAAGACCCTTCACGTGTGTTTGCAGTAGGAAACACAGTGAACTTCCCTAGTCGGCAGTGAAATTGAGAAGGGGCATTTTACAGAAGGGCTGAGTGGAGAGGGGGCAGAACACTGAGGCGAGTTACTAGGAAGTGATGACACATGATTGAGCCAATTAATTCATTATGAAAACAACTTCAGGGAATTCGTTTAAAAAGCATTTTTGTATTGACATTTTACTTGCTTACAGCCTTTGTTAGTGGATGATATGCATAATACTATTTAATAATTCAGATGCCAAGCATGCTTTTAAAGTATCGGCAGTTCTCTTGAGCCACCCCTTAGCTCAAAAGAAAACTCCTATGCACACCTAATCTGGAGTCTAGACATGCTGAGTGGGGTTTCCTGGCGTGTAGCTGCGGCAGGCTTCCTCACAGGTTCATCCTCTTACTTTGATTATATATTGCAAGCATTGTTTTTGTTTTTTTTTTTTAATCTCGCAAATCTTACACATTTTTAAGCAAATCGTGTGCTCAATCGTTTCCCTAAAATTGGAGCATAAAAGCAAAAGGGAAAAATAGAAAATCGTATTTGTTGAAATAGGAATTGTTACACTCTTAGTTTTTAAAAGTAGTCATGTATACATATTTATCTTTTGGAGATTCCCTTTGGGGAGAATTTGGCAGCAGAGAGTTGCATCTTGAGCCCCGTTTCAAGGTTCTGTTGCCTGAAATAGTCAAAGGTCTGCGTCCTGGCATGTCAGTGTCTAAAGCTAGTACATTTGGTACCCTTGTCCAGCTGCTGTGGGGAAAACACCCTTATTAAGAGATTCAATCCAGTGTTGTTTGTTTTAGATGTGGGACTGCAAGGTTTACGAGAAAAAGGTCAAGGCCTCCTGGATCAGATCTCCAACCAGGCTTCCTGGGCCTATGGAAAGGACGTAACCATTGAAAACAAAGAAAACGTGGACCACATACAAGGAGTGATGGAGGATATGCAGCTTAGAAAACAAAGGCAAAGTCTGAACGTTAATGTTACATTTACCCAGATAATGTGAGACCAAGAGAGAAGTTAAATACCTTATATGTTGCATAGACTCAGGTGTCTTACCTGTTTGATCATATACATGTGATAATTATTATACATAATTTTTCTGACAACTAATGCCAGTTCAGTACACAAACTGTCTCCCCCTTACGGGGCTGTAAAGACTTTAGTTGTACTCAGATATTGATGTCTACTTTAAGATCTTGTGGAGGTGCTTTTCTCTTACGTTAGAGCTCCGTTAAATCTTGCCTGGCTGTTTCTGCATCTCATCTTTCTAGGTCACATGTCGGTTAGTGTGTCGGTTGTAGGCTTAGGCAGTAGACTGACACTGATTTTGCTTCACTTGCTAGACTCATGGGAACTTGAGGCTGTAGAGCAGCGACTCTCATCCTGTGTGGGTTGTGACCCCTTTGGGTGTCACATGTCACATATCTGGTGTATCAGATACTTCCGTAACAATTCATAACTGGAGCAAAGTTACAGTTAGAAAGTAGCCACAAAGTAATTTTTATAGTTGGGGTCACAACAACATAAGGAACTGTATTAAAGAGTCACAGCAGTAGGAAAGTTGAGAAGCATTGCTCTAGAGACTCAGTCTATAACAGTGCCCTGACAGTGTTAGAAAGTAAAAGATTCACATTACGGAAGCAAAACCATGGCGCACACCTGTAACCCCAGCACTCAGGAGACAGAGGCAAGTGGGTCTCTGTGAGTTCAAGGCCAGCTGGCTCTAGGACAGCCAAGGGAACACCAAGAAACCCTGTCTCCATAAAAACAAAACAAAAATTACAGAGGCAAGAATAGGTACAGATATGTAACCCGGCATGGCTTTGTGGAGTATGCACACTTGAGTCGTGAAGAGAATTTCACAGAAATTCCCATCTACATAATGAAGAGTCACAGGGCAGGGATCCCTTCTGCTCCTTGCCCTGCACCTGCAGTGTCCTTACTGTGGGGTGCGACTTCCTCCACTGTCAGAGATCTTGAGGAGCCATCTGGAAGCATCAGTCATCTGGAAGCAGCTCTTCACGTAATTGATGAACTTGGCTTCCACTCTGAGAAGAGAACCCTCTTTTCTATACTTGCTTGCATCGTTGCCTTAACATCTTCTACAGAACTTGGTCCTTTGGGTGGTTTTTTTTTGTTTTTTTGTTTTGTTTTTTTTTTTTTGCTTTGGATTTTTGACCTTTTGATCATGGCGTTGATATTTTTTAAGTCTTTTCCATTCTGGTTTGATTTTTTTTTTTTTTTTCATTTTTGGCTGGAGTATGTCATACAGACTCCTTTACTGGAGCTGCTTCATCAGTTTTCTCATCATCATCATCATCTTCATCAAGCTTTCCTTTTTTCTGTGGAACCTTGTTACCACTTTCAGGTGCAGATCCATTCCCAGACATACTTAGGAGTTTTGCACCCTCTTCACCTCTGTCTTCTGGCTCTGTATCCTGTTCCACATTACTAGGTGATGTGCACTAAGGTGCACAGGCCCTGGGGTCTGCCTGGGCCTGAAGACCACAGGTGGTGGTGTTCAATGGCCCCACCTGGTGCTTGTACAACTCTTTGCACACTTGAGTCTGTTACTTTAATTGGACTGCCCTGTAATTCACCAATTCTGCCTCAGCTGTATGTAATTCATCTTTAGCCTCAGTATCTAAATTGACCTTTCTTGACAAATGGTGCTCATTTCACCATTATCCATCTTTTTGTTTTGTTTTGTTTTGTTTTGTTTTTGAGACAGGGTTTCTCTGTGTAGCCTTAACTGTCCTGGACTTGCTTTGTAGACCAAGCTGTCCTTGAACTCACAGAGATCCACCTGCCTCTGCCTCCCTGAGTGCTGGGATTACAGGCATTTACCCCCGAGCCTGGCACCATTATCTATATTAAAGTAATCCTCTTTATCAGCCTTCAGTTCACAACCAGAGGAGAGCTGTGAGGCCTCAACGGTCTCATGCCCATGTTCATCATCCCCCCCCCATGGGGGGGAGGGGGGCATGGACTTCTGGTGAGAGAGAAGCTGGCCTGAAGATGGCTCACAGGGTGAGATTGCACTGGGCCTGTCTTCTGCAATGAAATCATGTTGTTAGGATATGTGGGAGGCCACCTTCAGCTCTGGGTCCTAGTGTCCATAAATGCCACAGAGTTGCTCTTGCTTTGTTTTTCAGATACACTGTGGTTTTCATGTGTCCAGGACTACTTCCCTTTTCTCTTGTTTTCTATCCAGTGGATGCTTGTGCTAGGAAAGTCCCTTTTTCCTCTCCACCCCCACAGCGTGCTTTCCATGGGTCTGTAGGAGTTTTTATCATTTCCCATGACCATTTTCCAATCTGACTCATGTGTGCTTAGATGATATACAAGTTAAACTTAAGCTAAACTGTCTTATTTCCCGACGACACAAAATATGTATGAGCTTACATGTGTTAATCATCTTTATTATGAAGGGGTCTTGCATACTTCTTACATTTTTCTCCTGTCACTTGTAGAGGAACCTTAACAAGCTATGCTGTAACATTAGGCTGTAATTGAGAAGTACTTATTTAAAAAGTAACCTGTTGGTAGCTAGTTCTGTGTTATCATTAGGCTTTCTTCAGGAATGCTGACTGTAGAGCCTGGGACCTGGTTAAATTCCTTGTTTCTGGTATGTGGAGCTTTTCAGGAGTCCCCTTCCTGCTTCTCATCACAGAACTGTGTGGGAATGGAAGAAATGGGCCAGATCTAGCTACACCAGGACTGTTGGCATTTGCTCTGTATGTTATGTGTGCAGGCCACAGTGAGATTAGACAATGCTCTGCATTGTGTTTGTCTAAACTCAAAACATCTGTGGGTTTTCTTCCTAAAGAGTATAGATATAAGTTTTTAATTAAGAATTTAAGATTATTTTAGAGAATATAATTTGATAAAATATTTTAGATTTCCACAAAATATCATCTTCTAAACTTTCATACTTTTATCTTTGAAGATTGTTTAATAAAGTTGGCGATGGGTTTTCCTTGGGTAAACTGCATTTATGCTTTGCTTCAATATTTTGCAGAATCCATGCTATCCTCAAGAGGGTTTGTCATTCAGTATCATTCCAGGTATTTTGAGGTCTTGATGTAACATAGATAATAGACTAGATATTCATAAACTTCTGACAAGCCAGTACAACATAGTTGCAGTCTCCATAGCGTAGGACTAAGTACTTTAGTGATCTGTCACACGCTGCCTGAAGAGTGAGCTGAGCCTGTGTTTGGTCCGTTAGATGTGAGGACATGGTGGACGTGCGGCGGCTGAAGATGCTTCAGATGGTGCAGTTGTTTAAGTGTGAGGAGGATGCTTCCCAGGTAAGGCCTGCAACCCCTGCCCAGGAGGCTAGCTTAGATGAAGTTCATTACACTTTAACTCAGAAGGTTAACCTCACGGAGCTATGAAGAGTGGACTCCTGTGATGCTGAGAAAGTCCGCTTATCCCATCAGGCTCTTGTTTCTCCTGTAGGGAATAAGACTCGGTGCTCCATCTGGTTTGCTGATCCCATTTGACTCACCCCTTGGTAACCCTGTGTGGATTTAGAGATTCAGAACATTTATTAATATTTTTGTCAGCTCGGTTGTTAGTCCTGTCCTGGAATGAAGGCTAGTGAAGCACATGGCTTTCCACCCCACAGAACAATTCTCAGCCCTGCATAAACAACTTGATGCAATCATGTGTTTAGTGTCAGAACTTATTTACACAATCTTGATTGTGTAGAGAGAACTTACTATTCTCAGAATCCATATCTGTATTGATCCCAGCAGAACTGTATTATAGGGGCCCATGGCCTTGTATTATGTGTTGCTAGTTTTACACTGAGGTCCAGCCTTAGCATTTGAGACAGCATTTGAGGAGCAGGGGAAACATTAGTTCATAGAGTATGGCATTGAATGAATGCTAAAACCAAGGTTTTAGTTCTTATAATTAAAGAACTAACTAACCAAAGATAATTTTTATGCAGATTTAACGCAAGAAAAGAGCTCTGATTCCAGCTTTCTTCTGTACTTTCCTGTAGGCGGTGGAATGGCTAAGTGAACTTCTGGACGCCCTGCTCAAGACCCACACCAGGCTGGGCGATGAGGCTCAGGAAACAAAGGTTTTACTGGAAAAGCATAGAAAATTCGTGGATGTCGCACAGGTACAGACGGAACTTGCCTTCGCTGTAGGTGCAGTCTGTGTGGCTTTCTGTAAGATTATAGCGCAGCCTCACCTTCCAGGTCTGCGAAGCTCAGCTTTGCTACCCACAGCTAAGAGGGTGCCAGCTGGCGCACTAGATTGGCCCACCTGAACTCGAGGACTTGCCTCCTGAGTGTAGGGCCTCCGCGCTCCCTGTACTTTGCATTATGGGTTGTGCCGCCGTGGGGACCAGCTAACAGTTCACAGCACTGAGGTGAGGTGTTTGTTAATAACCGCAAAGTAGAAGCAGCAGTCCCGCCATCTCACCAGAGGTAGCACACGGATACACAATTATTTGGGGACTGAGAACACGTTTGTGGATTTCCCCTAATACAGAGCGCACAGGGTTACACTCCTGTACGTAATATAAGGAGTGTAGCTAACTTCACCGCCTCCTTCTGGTAATCAGAGAGCTGGCATTGTTTGGCCAGCAGAGTTTAGCCGACCGAGTCGGTGAGCACAGTATACGGATGGAAGCCTGCAGCGACTCAAAGCGTGAAGCTAACCAGACAAACGGCTGCATTTGTTGATTGTGTGTGCCGATCCCGGAAGCCACGGGGCTGTGCAATATTGATGTGGTGCCACACCCTGTCCCTCCCCCTTCTGTGACCTGTTTATGTCTAACCCGGTGGTGATTTTCCTTCCTAGAGCACTTACGACTACGGCAGGCAGCTGCTGCAGGCCACCGTTGTGCTGTGCCAGTCTTTGCGCTGTGCTTCCCGCTCCTCGGGGGACACGCTGCCTCGGCTGAACAGAGTGTGGAAGCAGTTCACAGTAGCCTCTGAGGAGAGAGTGCACAGGCTGGAGATGGCGATCGCCTTCCACTCAAATGCCGAGAAGGTAGGCAGGAACCTTAAAAACGTGTTTGAATTTTTACTTTTATTTTGTGTGTTTAAGTGTTTGCCTGGATTTAAGTCTGGGCATCACATGTATGTGGTACCTGTGGAGTCCAGCAGAGGGCGCCAGATTCCCCTGGGACTGGAGTTACCATCAGTTGTGCATTGTCCCGTGGATCCTAGAACTGAGCCTGAGGCCTGTTGGAAAGTGGGTGATGTTCTTAACCACTGAGCCCTCTCCAGCCCCAGTGTACTTCCTGGAAAAGGGAAGGGTGCCAGTGTTTAAAAGTGTTACTTGGAATAATATAATTATGGGATTAATGTGTGTGCTACTATTCATATTCATTCTGTTGCTAAGGTTCACTTGAATGTGTGTGATGTCTTAAGACTTAACACTAAGTCTCCTGACCTGACCCGGCTCTGGGGACCTTGGCCACAGGATTCCAAAGCTACAGGCGTCCTGTTTCCCTTTGTCTTCCTTGCTGGCCCTACCCAGCCAGGTCCTACCCCGCCAGGTCAGGCTTCTGTCTGCATTCTGCTGTCACCTTGTCAGGCTCTTTCATTGGTCCAGGAAAGGAAACTGTTTTAGCAACTATATCTTTAGTACTTTTCGGAATTTTTTTAATTACTTTGTGATTTCATAATTCAAAGTAAAGGCTGGCCAAGAAAACGAATGAACAAACAAAACAGAACCTCAAAACAAACAAACAAACAAAAACTCTTTGTTCTGTGGTGATTTTTAAAGATTCATTCTAGAATTTATTTTTCCATAGTTTTATGTCACTAGTTCTAGAAGCTGCTAAAGATAAAGAGAGCAGTGTCGTTTTGGCAAATTTCTGATAGAACACACATTTCCCCTCACTCGGCGATGCTGAGAACATCAGGAAGGAAGCTTAACAAGGCAGTTAATTTTGTGTTGCGCTGTCACGGTGCAGTTTATATGCAGGGGACCTTGGAGCCTGAGCTGTAGCCTCATCTCACGACAGAACAGGTGTGACAGGGAACCTCAGGAGCTGAGGCCGTTGAAGCACATGTCGGAAGGGGCCTCGGTTGAGTCTCTCCTGTGCGCCGAGCTTGACAGACACTGAGTTGTGCTAGTTCTCAAGTGGGAAGACCACCAGCTCAAGGGCAGGCCGAGCCGTCAAGAGAGACCCCGCCTTGAAGAACAAGCAGCAGACAAATGACGGCCTCAAGAGGACTACGGCAGGAAATGGAGGGCACGGCTTGGCCTGTTTATCGACTGGTTATTTCAGCCAACACTTTCATTATTACACAATATGGCGCTCACCCAGAAAAAGTGTAGACCCTAAATGTGCTAAATGGGCTTGCACAGGACGAGCATGGCAGCGCAGCATGTGCAGTGTGTGTGTGTGTGTGTGTGTGTGCAGAGAGTGCAGAGTGTGTGTGTGTGTGTGTGCAGAGAGTGTGTGTGTGTGTGCAGAGTGTGTGTGTGTGTGTGCAGAGTGTGTGTGTGTATGTGTGTGTGTGTGTGCAGAGAG